AAACTTCACTATTTTCTTTTTGGACATGGTATCGATTCATCATAATTCACCATTTCGCAAACGCAAAAAGACAAACACAAGCAGAATACCCAACGAGAAATCTAAGTCAAAAGCAATGACATGAAAATTCGAAACACGTGCGTATGCGTGGCTAACAAGAAACGAATGGGGAACGTAAAAGGAGGGAATGCGCATGCGTGGGGTTTGTAGGAGGTAGCGATGCTACAAACTACCAACCCTGATTTCTTTCATCCCATTTCGTGCATCAGTTGCTACTGCCACTACGGCTGTGTCGGGGCACTTTCAGCCCAGAAAGATGACCAAGCATGTCCTTGTTGCACTTCTTTAGGGTAATGCAGCTAGTTTCCTTTGGGTACTTTCTCATCAACCCACATGTCAAATCAGGATGAACATGGGCAAACCCGCATTTAATGACCCTCGGGGTCTGAATTTCGTGATCCTTCTTTTGCATGTCTTGCACATGCTGCATGGCTGCCATAATGTCTTACTCAGTAGACTATATAGCGCCACCAAGAGTTTTCCCACAAGCAATCAAATTTTCAACCCCTATGTGTTGCGGTATGCATGTTGATATTGTGTTGACTGTGTTACTGAGAGAGAAGGCTTGGGGGCATGTGGTTGAATAGGGTTGGACTAAATAGTAGGATAAGGTTTCCTGCTGAAAAAAATGGAAATAAAATAAATCATCTCAAACTGGTGCAAACACCAGTGCAAACTAGGAATTTGAGGTCAAAACTTACTAAAAAAGAAACGAGCACGAAACTTCAAGGGCAACATACATGTAGCACCCAAAGTTTTTATTGCTTTAAGTGAACTAATGCTATTTCACCAAACGGCTTTACCTGCCCTAATTGTACCCCAAGATGAAACTTTTGTGCAAATTTGAGCCAGATCCGTTATCCAGCGGGTTATCCCCTTCGACAGATTTTTGCATGGTGTACTCATGCAATGACACTTAACTGATTAAACAATCAACTCTTAAAACAGTTATATATTTGCGATAAAGATCACTCCTTGCATAGCTTTCATGTCAGCATTTGACACAAATTTTATTTGTTTCAGTTCATGTGTCAATGCACTACATAATTTACATGATTTCATTTACATGATAATTTTACATGATTTACAAAAAATATTCACAGTAATTGTCACGACTTGAAATATTTGTACATAAATTCGAAGTTGGATTCAGGTGGCTATTGAAATAATGTACTAAAAGCACATGTAGAAGTTGTTCAGATAAAACATTGATCATCAGTAACACGAGTTTGTTCCAAAGTCATGTTTGGGTTAACAGATTTTGCCTATCAGTATTATTAATTATTGATAACAAATCAGCTCATATAACAGTTATAAATTTGCACTAAAGTTCAATCCTTGCGTAAATTCTCATGTCAACATTTGACACAAATTATTATTAGGATCATACCGGCCACAAAATGGGCAAGCAGTCTCGGCCTGTAGAGATACCGGCCAGCAGTGGACGCCACACCTTAATTAAGATATTGGGGTTATTTCTTCATGGCCACTCATTTCTTGTAAAAATTGACCATCATGCACAAGACCTATGATTGAACAGGTATGATGAGGCGGCTTTTCCCCCAAAGCTTTTTTCTGGCACCTCTCCAGNCAAGTGTGAGTTCAAAGCCAATACAGTGTGGGGTCTGGGGCCCGCCTTAGGGCACCAGAAAATTTTGAATTTCTAAATGCTCTGTGGTGCATTCTGGGCAGTTCTGACCACTTGAATTGAATTTTAGACATGCATTCTTTATTTCCAAAATATGCACACTTTCAAGATTTCTTGTTTTTTTACCTTTGTATTTGAAATATACCAGTACAATCAACATATACATAGCTTGATATCTGAAATTTTTCTAATTGATGCTTGTTGATTTTATTTTCTCCACGTGAGTTAGTCTGGCTCTCTTGTTGACCTTGGCAGCAACCTCTAGCATGTTAAGTATGAGAGCCAAAAAACCAAGTTTACTTTTTCCATACTGAACTTCAATAAATATTCAATATCTCACCTTGCAGACAATAGTTTGTTTTCCACAACTTTATCAGCTCCCGATGTTTTAATTGCCATAATTGATCTCCCTTTTTCACACTGTGCAATATGCTACACCTGGTCGATCAAGCTTGCGAATGATCTCAGCAAGCGAAACTCCATCCACATCCTTCTCCAGCCAGTCTCATTTCCAGGCATTGTTTATGCCTTTATAATTATCAGAGGTTTTTATTTATTCTGGCCCCTTTCCACATTATACGATGTCCTTCCTTTTTGAAGTAAATTTTCCCACATCTCAAGACATTTTCCCGACACGTACATGTACATGGCACACAGTGGCAGCACCTGCAGTCTGTATTCTATGTCGCAGCGTGCAAGTCGATAAAAAGATACAGAGCCAGACTATGTATAGCATCGGTACATAAATACGTCACATCATAGAGATGGATCTGTAATCAAAATAACTATGATTCTTGCCGGACTTGTCCTGGACTCTGGCCGGGTCCTTTGAGTCTTTACCCCCGAGTCCAAGCCCAGTATGTGCGAGTCTGAGTCAATGAAAAGTGGACTGGAGTCGCACAACACTTGTGACAGTGACCTGATCCATGCTGTTATCACCACAGATTTGCTTGAGGGCAATGTTGTATCGTTCCTTGAATTGCATGATCCATACTCTATTCACAGATTTCTTACACCCTATCATCCTGGCTAGTTGATCTGTCTTTTCTTGGAGAAGAGGGCCATGTACCCAGATTTTTTTTCATTGGCTCCTGGAAACCAGGGGCAGCCTCTTCCACATGTTAATGAAACCAGGTGCAGCCTCTTCCACATGTTAATGATTAGCTGTACTGCATCTTTTCTGTTATCGGTAAGACAACAAAATGATCACGCAACAGATTTAATTTTAATTATCAGAGGTGTATTGCCAACACTGTCTTTCACTTCTTTTTTTGTCTCCAGTAGTCAACTGAGCTAGACTAAGTCTATCAGCCTCAGCATGTGACGGTAATTTCAGATTTAATGTTGATCTCGACAACTCCGATACCTATTCTGCGGTTGGGCTGCAATCCGATTTCATGTGGTAAAATGGGTTAAAAAGTTTGATTGGGGAGCATTTGTCAAAATGTACCCTAAAGGGCATTTCTTTGCAAGCCGTTCTTCGCTGTTGATGCATTACTTAAAACTACAAAAAGGCGTTCTCGGAATGTGGAATTGGAAACTTCAAGATCCTCCTGTGACACCCTTCATCTCTGAATATTCCTGTCATTCTTTTGCTGTTCTCTGTTGTTGTAATTCCGTTAGTCTTTTATTCTTGACTTATACTTATTATTTATAAGATAAATGTGTTGTCTTACAGTTTTCTCCATTTGAAATGGAGTATGTTCGTCTAAAACAAAAAATCCCAGTTAACCCCTTCCGTTGACAGCCATGGCTGTGTGTGAGGATCAGTGCATACCACACATACATTCTATTCACCATGCAGCTGCTGGTTCAATGGGGCCTGCTGCTGGACATGGCTTTGCATACTGGGCATACCGCAGCCCAGCAGTCGCGGTCAAAGAATCCCGGCGTTAACTTATGGTAAGCTGTTCGTGTTGTCTCCAACTAGAACCCTGTCATATTTTGGTTCCGTTTGTTACTTCATCCCTCAAAGGCAGGCCAGTGATAGCAAATACTCATTATATCAATCAATAATCAATCAATACTCGTTTTGTTAACGTGTATGTGACCCACTGTAGTAAAGTGTAGAACATAATTTGTTTTAAAATTGTTCCACTGTTGAAGTGTATTGTAATGCTTTAAAACAATTCCTAAATACCTGGGACAGTCTATTCCTATTGGTTAAAATGCGTCACATGACTGTGTATTAACAATTGTTAATTTTCGCTGCATAAATCATGCGCCTGCACATGGATATGAGACAGTTTAATTTGGTCTGATTGCATGCCATGCGCACACCAAGTTCATCGTAGGGAATTCTATCCGACAACTTTCAAAAGGAATATGCCATTAAACGTCAAATGGACGGTGGTCTTCTGGAAAATGTAAGTAAAATTCTGGAACGAAATCGCTGGAAATCCATATAATGACTTTGTTTGATGTCTGAATAAAAAGGTTTTATGAACGGGAATAAATATGTGCTTGGAGAATGAACGCCGATAATGTTGCGTCCATTCTCCTGAGCTTGTCTTAAATGCATGTTTTAAAGACCAGCCAAGCACATATTTATTCCCTGATTAATAACCCTAGTGTTATAGCACTTCATTTTTGACGTTCAAGTGTCGTATTTTCACTGGTACTTGCAAACAAGTGTCCTCAGACACACCATGTCTCCTTCGAGTCCAAAGCTAATGTCAATCGGACCTGTACATTCTCAAACCCTTGTTTTAATTCCATTTTGAGAGTGCCTCTCGGGTTCATTGCAACAAAATGCAGCAACGGGGAAGTAATGTCACAGATTGTCAAGTATAGTTCTGCATGAAATTGCATTACACAGTATTGGGTGTTTATTCACTTGACTCGGTGTTGATACCAAATCGGCTGTTGCATTGAGCAAGTTCTTGTTTCAGTTCAGGTTGGAGTATTGCAAATAGCAGGTTTATAAGACTACTAGCGGGGGGGGGACATATTGGTCTACATTTAACTGTGCGACAACTTCTGCAAAGGACTCAAACCAGATGCCTGCATTACGTGATTATTATTTTATTGTCAGTATTAACTGCAGTTTGCAAAGTTGTACATTTGAAGCAAGATATGGGACGGAGAGCACCCCACACCTTTGTGTTGGTCATTGTTTGATCGGAATTCTTTACAGACATCTAGGGGGGATGTGCTAGGTAACGATAGTCTACAGTGTGTGTATAGGGATTGGACATGTAAGGGGGGGTACCCCTCCGTCCCATATCTTGCTGGGGATAAAGTTCACAGATTTGATTTCCTAAATTGGCAACGGCTTGACTCCTTGTCTTTGCACAGAACTAGACAGGAAATGCTAAGATTTGGGGGGAAAGAAATAAATATTTAAGTTGTAAAAGCTCAGTGGAAAGTTCCACTTTACAGACATATTTCAATGTACGTGCCTTCTGGAAAGTTTTTCTAGTTTGTTACATTCACTACTATCAAAATGTTTTCCCTGTACGATGTGCATACGTCTCAACTACCCCAAGATAATGGGATGCTGACCAGTCACTAAAGCTCTTCTGTAACGTGCCAAACTTTCCTGAACAGATCACGCGACAACGGTTTCACCACAATGGTGCATTAATGACTTGGCACCACCCAGAATGCACATAACGGTTCCCCTCAATGAAAGATGTGAAGCAGCTCAATTAACTTAATTCACAAGGAGTTTTGGTCAAGAAGCCTGTCTTGAATCTGACACTAAATGCAATAAAACTGACAGATAATGCTTCCAAAGGAGGAAGGCTTGTGTCGAAATCTCCACTTCACAGCTGACAAATTTAATGCCGACATGACCGGGACAATTTCGGGACCTTGGAGTCTAGTAGTTACTCTGGTGACCTCTCCGACCTGGGAAGAGGAAAGAAAAAAATGCCAATCAAAAATATCTGGTTAAAGAAAGATATCTAACCTTGGTCCTTCAAGGTCCTAGCTGAGGTACTCGACCATCCATCCTATCTGAAGGATAAGGTAGGGAACTAGACTCAGGTTTTTTATATGGGACAGTTCACACTTCAGTACTGGGAAACGAGTCAACCACTGGCCCTTGACTATCTCCCTCAAGTGTCGTCATCAACAAAAAACTCTCAACCTTTATGTCTCGTGCTGCATGTGTTGTCATCACAGAGCCATAAATATAAACTAGAGCGCTAACTTCTCATTCTCCGCGCAGAGGAAATTTGACGCCGTCCTGGGCGCAGACATTTTGAATCACTGTGCGTGCTTGTAGAACATTCAAGATCAGATAGCATGGATATCGAATTATGTATTCTAAATGCAACGCTCAAGTACAACAGACGCGTATGTCAGCGTGTCTTTTGAACAAGGTGCACACGTACAGAGCAATAGCACGTTTGTTTACATCCACAGCTGATTTTGAAACGAATGTTTACTTTCGTATGGCTGATGGCTGTCTTTCAGTGAATAAGTTTAGCGAAATCAAAAAGTCGTTCCCCAAATCAGTGTAAAGAAGTTGACGGCTCTGGAGCGGCAGCTGTCATGCGCATCGGGTACCGATAAGATCCAATTAAAAACATCTCAGCAAAATTCATCTGCAATGCATACGCGCACGCCTTTGCGCTTTTTGGCTCAAAACAAACGAAAACCCTCATTTCCTGATTGTGCATTCAGAGTGTTTACGTATTGGCTTTGTTTGTGTATCGCTTTAGAATACAGACGCAGATATTCAAATAGCCATACAAAAGCCATACAAAATTTTGAGTGTTTGTGCACAAAACATGGATGCGCCCACCAGGCATCACTTTGTACATGAGTCAGTGCCTCCAGTTTTTACATATAGCTCTATGGTTGTAATACAGTGTATTTTATTCGCTGGTGAAATCAGAACACCAGAGAATGATCAGGTGGTTTGTATGGACTGTACAGCAATAGGCAGGCAGGTTGAGATTTCAAAACAGCACAGTGACTAACGGGCTAAAGATTATCAAGAAAGGGTAGAAGTTTCAACCATGGTGACCTACCAGAGCGATAGTTCCCTCGGTCGCCGCGGTAGTTCCCACCGCCGCTGCGGTCGCCCCGGTAGCCCGAGCGTCCCGTCCGGAAACCACCGCCACCCCCTCCGCCCCCGGTCCGCTCGCCCTGCTTGTCGCGGTATCCCTGGCCCCCTCCTCCACCACCGCCTCCGGACTTGCCAAAGCCCCGCCCGTCGTTCTGGCGGTACTCCAGCAGGCGCTCGCCATTCTCCACGAGGTTGTTGACCTTGTCGGCCAGGCGCAGCGCCAGGCTCTGCAGCTTGGTGGGCTCGCAACGGTGCATGACCACTGTCTGGGCAGGCTCATCCCAAGATGCCTGGCAATGACAGAAACGAGGAAAAGTGGATGGATAAAACAAAGAAAACTTCACCTTTAGCGCCGAATCGATCATTTGAACATTCAATTGTTGAATCATTTATCAATTATTCACTTTTTTAAAATCAATTATTGGGAGCTGAAAATCAATAAAATAAAAAGGGCAAAATTCCACCATTTGGTTACAAAATCGCATTCCAAAGGCATGAGTAAAACTTTTTATGAAAAAATTCTATTCCTTCAACTGGTTTTCTTTTTACTTCTAGCTCAAAAAAGCAACTGAATAAATAAGCTATATTGTTGGAAGATGACTGATGTTCAACCGCAATTGCACTCTGTGGGGAATGATTAGCCTGTGTAAATGTACAAAATTGTTTGCTGAACTTGAGGGCAGGTCAAAGCCAACTAGTTATTCAATCCAGGAAATCGTTCCCAACGCATTCAAAACTGAGCATTTTCCTATTTGGAGATTTTTTTAACCCATTCTAGTAGTCCAAATCTGCAAAAGCTCTTTCTTCCATTCCACAATTCCACAGTCTGACATCTCATTTCTTCTGAGACCCACGAGATCACTTACCATGAGCTCCTCGTTGATGATCATTTTGCTGATGATACTGTGCACGACAGGCTTCTCCAGCTCAAACATGTCGGCCAGAGTGTTCATGCTGAAAGGAAACACCGACAGGTACAGAGCGGTCAACTTCTGGCACAAAACAAGGCAAAGCTAAATAGAATGTGGCTAAATCTTCCTCTCCTGGATCAAGCACAGAAAGCTGTTCCTGGAAATCTTACTCATTTATTTTGATTTTCAACTACTCATCTTCAATTGCACTTGCAATGCAAAATGTGACCCACTCTGTGAAAATGAGTCCCAAAGTAGCCAGCTACCTGTAGAATCTGAAACCAACAGGAACCCCCACGTTTCACAATTGTTTTGCAATTTTAACCCATATTTTGATGCTATTTTGATCTTTATGCTAATGCTATTTGCATATTCATGAGCAGACCTAAGATGTCATCCAAGGCACTGAGTCTCAATGTTTCACTGATTTGTGCATGAACAATTTCTTGATTTTTTTAACCACTGCTATGGCAGATTTTATTTTCTTTGGCAATTTATTGCTGTGTAAGTATATGGCAATAATCCAGCAAAAATCCTTTTCACAGAAATGTTCCCAGACAGCAAATTTGGGACTCACAATTTAAACATGAAAACATGCAACCTGAACCATGTCTTTCTGGAGTTGCATCAAAGCAAAAGCGCCCTCACTTGTCCAGAAATGCTTGGTCAATTTTCAAGTGCACCGTTCAGTTCAACTAACTCAAACACGATGTCAAACAGTCTTCAGACATGAAAGAAGAGTACAGAGATACACACAAAGTGATTCTAAGAAAAATTCATTTCCTGGTTCCTTTTAAGTTTTTTCAAGTTCACTTTATTGCTCCCTACAATTAAGGCGAGGCATCAAAAATATTTTAAGCGTTTGTCCGCGTGCAAACAGCAGGAATGCAGCTATCATCATTAATCCGCGTGTGAACAGCCCCCGTTCTGCCCGCGTTCCTTTAACAATAGTGTGTTCACGGAGCCAGGGGGATTACAAGCACAGAGGAAGCCAGCCGGACTACCGCGGAGGGCTAGCATACAACAATAAGTATCCTATGTACCAGCTGATTGCCCAGTTTTTGCTGTTTACGGTTCTCAACAGCGGGCAGTTTGCATTGTGAGCAACTATGTGGTCGTCATTCCCTGGCTGGGATTCTTCAAAACAACTATCGTTCTGCTGTTGGAAACAGTCAACCACTTCACCAATATAGGAGATCTGTGCATTTCAAATGTGTATGAAAAATTATTTTGAATTATATAGCCTTTATCAAGAAATACAGACTTGCTAATGTACACAAAATCAGCATAAATGAGGAGTTCTGCAAGTGAATACAGAATTACAAATTCAAGAAATTATATGTTGAGAAAAATAACTCCTCGCTTCATGTAAATTGTACAGTATTGTGTACAAGAGGACGTATTTCATTAATCCAGTGGTAACCCACTCAATGCTATGAGAACATCCGGGTTCTCCATGGTAATACTGTTTCTAGGCAACACAGCAAAGCTCTGGGACTGTGTTAGGTGAAGAATTACGATCAACGAAGCTATCCAGCAAGTCCTCCAATAACTAGCGGCAAGCCCTGAATACTTCAAGATGTTACCTGTATTGTGTCTACCGGAACAATAGAGCTGTCAATCACTCCTCAGAAAATCTCCTTTTCTCCAGAGCTGGGGTGGATTTATTCGAGATTTTTGTTTTTTTGGAACTTCCAGAGCCACTTGAAAATTAAAATAATTCTATTCACGGTACTTTTTCAAGTATTGGCGCCTACGCAAGATAACAATTTTATAAAAAAAGAGCATTTTGTTTAATACACTCCTTCCATTATGTTGACACAGAAAAGATATTCAAAGCAGTGGAAGGTTAATCAATAAAGTCAATAAACAGAGAGTACCGCAAAAACTGATTGGAATAGTCTTCACGATCGTTGCGATCTTTGTAGGTGGTTACAATCGAAGAACCCACCTTTGAGTTCTGACATTCTGTAGGAATGTTTTTGGTGAATGCCATATAACAGTGAAAAATTCAAGACAAATACACTCTACTATGTACGGAAATATGAGGGAAAAATCTGTTTCCTTTGCCGGTTTCTTCAGTGCTTTGTTTGCCATTCTGAACATTCTTCAGATACTCCTGTAGCCCTCAGCGTTCTGCTCGCGGCAGTACGGCCAATTTAAATAACAATGGAGAATACAATGCCCCATTCCAGTTTCCCCAGTCGTGGATTATTTATCCCGTTCTGACGCGGGCGAACGGCTTCCTGTGCAGAACAGCAGGGACGCAGGCGCACGCGGGTGAACGCTAAAAATATTGTTGACGCCTCACCTCAGCCTACACACTCTTACTTGATATCTAGTCATTCCTGATGCACCAACTTGATTCAACGTACCTCATTGAGTCATACACACTGCCATAGGTGAAGAGATATGTCCTCAAACTCTCCTCTTGGATTTTCCTGAAATTAACCATCAAAAAGCGACTTCCACTGCTCACACCATGTGCACCGGGGACGGGCCAAAATTAATGCACAACTATTCTCCACTTCTAACCAGTGCGCGCAAGACACCAATGTATCTTGGCATATTCAAGACCACCCAGAAACAGTTTTTCAGCATCCGTTATCATTTTCTCATTCTTGCAACATAATATCCTTTTTTCAGAGTAACATTCTCTGCATCTCAAAAACTAATCAGTGAAATAGAGCATTTTGGACTCAATTTCACGGTACCCACTTACTATGATCGATTATTGTCTTAGGCGGCTCAGAGAAAACAAAAGCCTTTTTTTTTACCTTGTGATGAGCTGGCGCACGTGGTCGCTGTTGGGGAACAGGTTCCAGACTTTACCGTTCATCTTGTCGTTCAGCAGGTAGTCGCGGCAGGCCCGCCAGTTGCCGTAGCGCATGGAGCGCGAGGCCGCCACCACGTGCTCTCGCATGCTCTCGGGTGGGCCCACCAGCGTCTGCCGCTCGCTCAGTCGCAGCTGGTGGTGGAAACTCTTGCTGATCATGCGCCGACGGATGTCAAAGTTGTGGGCTGGTGAATTGTAAATGAGTGGGGTGGGGGGTGTGAATTCATCATTGACAATTAAAGGTTCATTTTGGAAAGGGCAACTGACAAAAGACCCCAACGCTAAAATGTTGACAATGACAATGACTCTCATGACACTTTGTGACTTGTGGACTGTATTTTTTGGCGCAAATTTTGACTTACAACAAAGGCAAGATACTTGTACAAGTGGTGCTTGGTCCTAAATTACATGAGTCACTTGAACAGTACTTGCAGGGCACCACCCATCATACTTTTCAACACCCTGGGGCGTGCCTACGAAGTAATGTTTACTACCTCAACAGGTCATGTGCAGTGGCCAACAACAATAACAACAACACCTGGTCCCCCTCCAAAGAGCTCTGTGGCCCTTTTCCATATGCATACAACACAAATGGACGTTGAGTGTGTTTAACCATTAGCGAGAGGTGTTCTGAGGCACGCTCAACACTCTGACCCGTCAACCGTACCTATGTACACAGTTTGCCGATTGTGCTTACACACCCTCTAGCAGGGGAGGGGGATGGTTGAGTGGGGTTTCTTACAGGCCATGTAGGGTATCTCCAGCAGCATGGCAGACACCAGGTAGACGCACTCCAGCAGCTCCAGGTTGATGTGCATGTGGAAGGGCAGCTGCCGGCTCTTCTCAATCTTCTCCTGGGTGGGGTCTCGCTCTTGCTGCCTCTGCATCAACAGACCCTGAACAGACAAACCGACAGACCAGCGATAACCACCAAATACATAAGACAATTGGAGGACTGTGGTCATCAGCCTGCCATATGGGTGGGTTTTCTCAGATGATCAAACAGGGCTGTAAGGTGTATACCAACTAGTCAGCAATAAACCTGGCCCATGAATCTGGAAAAAACATCCACTTTTACTTTCAAAGTTGTTTTGACATAGGAAAAGCTTATGAAATTCTTTTAAAGTGGGCGGTATATGAAGCTTTGGAAAATAAAATATGCCACTTAAGATTCTAGATCACTTTTTTAATAAACTGTCATTTAAAACCTTCTGCCAGGTCCATTATCATTGACAGGCCCTTATCCGTTTTAAATCTTAAAACTGTCCCATTTACTCCTTTGATTCTGCTGCTTGCTAATCTGTCTCCTATTGAAAAGAGGTCAGCAGTGCACTGAGCCACGTTCGTGAATAAAAGAATATTACGTAACACCACAAAAACAGGGCTCTTTTTACAAGGCTGTAGGCCTGGCTGAAATACTCATGCGTCAATAGATTTTGTCTGTGAGGCTACAGTTGACACCAGACATATCTTCACGTGCTTGTAAGTGTCCAGTAAATGAAGATAGGAATTTTTAAAGAATTTTGAAAACGGGAAAAAAATGATAAATATCCTGCCCCAGCATCATCAACATTGATAGCTGCCCTGGCAGGAAGTGGTTAAGTGTTCTCAAGGGGCCAATTCTAACTGCCTTTTTATTGCATTAACTCCAAGGCTATGTGGTTTTAGTGGAGCAACACCCCCCTCCATTATTCACTCAACACAAGTCAACACAAGGGAAGGCCCTGTCCTATAGTCAACCGATAGGAATTTTGAAATGATGCCTTACACACTGTGAAATGGCTTTCTTGAGTTTCACCGTTTGGAAGAAGCTAAAAACAATAAGATTTCAGGTTGCTCAAGTCTATTTCACCCCCTCCACCCCTTGATATTGTACCTGTCACTGATACTCACGGAGCTGGTGCTGTATTTTCATTTTGCACTGATTAATTTCTTTGGTAATCATTATTATGGAACACAAACTCTGAAATTCAGTTTATGCTATGATCAGTAATTACAACCATATGCAGAATTAACCTAATCCAAGCTTACAGCTTAAAACTTCATAACTTATTCTACATTCAGTCAACTTGACAATCAACCAATCACAGAAGTTCTTATGAGAGTTAATCTGGGCTTGTCCCATTTGTTTGGAGGGGGATAGAGGCCTCTCACCTGTGCAAGCAGCTCCTTGGCGCGACCACCACTCTGGATGTCCAGCAAAGCATGATGGGCGTCCTTGATGTTGCCGTGGCGAAATGCGCACAGGCCCAGCTGCACCATGGTGCGGTTGTACAGAATCTGAGGTGGAAAAAGACACACCCATGAAGTAAATGAGACACTCGCGGGACATTTCCCACTTGGTCAGATTCAGCTCTAGCACCAGACTGCAACACTGGCGTAGATTCCCGACTTCCTTTTCCCCCCTCTCTCGTCCCCTTACCTGCGTCGGGATATCAGAGTGCTGGATGTTGGACTGCAGGTGGGACATGAGGATCAGGTCTCGAGCCATGTACCAGCGGTCATGGAGGGCGTGGTGGTAGATATGACACAGCATGGCGCGGGTGCGGATCAGGTCCGTCGTATCCTTGGAGTAGATGAACTTACACATGCGGTCCATCAGCTTCTCCGTGGTCCCTGTGGAAGGGAAAGGGGAGGAGACCAGAATCTTAGCGTAAGACACTGCCTAGCTCAATTTGATGAGTGGGTTATATCAGCACAGAAATGTGGTATTACTATGAGGCCCTTCCTGGGTTTGTAAAGGAGTTAAATGAGATGAAGTTGTAGGGTTCAGTCCAAAATATCTAAGAAGTGTTGGCTGAATTGCTCAAGAGAGGCAGAAAGTCAGTATTAGGGCACAGATCAAACAGCTTTGCAAGAAATATACAATTATTTGCGAAAGGACTTGGACTTGACATTTCAAAATACTTCAGAATTTCCAATGTACCTTTTGGTAAAGAAACTCAGATTTAATCTCAATTTGAATTATGCCTTCAATGTTTGCAACTTTGATTCCCGCTGGGTTTGGAGAATGACCCTGCTACCCTCCCACTCCCGCCAGGTTTCTTACGGCTGGTGTCTCCCTTGGTCTTGGAGCTGACCCCTTCCTCCTCCGTCTTCTCAGTCCCCTCTTCCTCCCCGCCATCCTTTTTGCCCGCCTCGTCCTCCGCCTTGCCCTCCTCCTTGGCCCCTTCCTTCTCCTCAATGCTGCCCTTCTCCTCCCCCTTGGTGTCCGTCGCCTTGTTGTCGCCCCCAGCGTCGGGGTCCTTGCCCTTCCCCTCCTGGGTCTCCTTCAGGATCTTGGCGCGGCGTTCCTGGACCTGCTCTTCCAGCTGCTGCAGCTTGTCGTAGTCGTACTGCAAGGGGAAGGGGGGGAAACAAACCAATGTGAAAGTCTTCTAAAAAACCATCTTATTTGATTTCTACGGTATACAGGGGTCCAATTTGGTAAAAACCAGGACCACAGGGCCCAGTGCCTCATAAAATTTACTGGACTGGAATAAATATCACAAGACCAACACGGTGTCAATGTCGAAAGGTAAGTAATACACACATCGTACCTTCAACTCAAAGAAAAGTAGGCCCGAACAATTTCTGTTTTCGCAAATTTTAGAGTTTGTAGATGAATATGTTACAAGAACACTAGACTGCCGGACCTGCACTGGAATTGATGCTGCAAAACACATTCAAATTACCAGACTCAGTTCAACGGTGCAGTGGGTATTCTGATCATGGATTAAAGGGAAGTTCAAACGTGCCTAATGCTTCTGGAATGCTCTGATTGGAAACAATGTGAGTTCCCTTTGCTCAAAATGAAGGGCATCTCAGATCCATCAAGATCATCAATACAACTGCACAAGGTCAGCCCCAATCAACTTGGTCACAGACTGGCTCCCACGCACTGAACACGTTCAAATTGGCCTCAGGGACTTTAGTCCAGAAAAACCTAACCCAGCCCTTTACCTTGTAGTAGATGTGATTAATGTGGCGCATGTAGATTCGGCAGAGATCGGAGGCACTGCCCCGTTCCTCCAGGTAAGACTGCAATGTGGTGATGATCTTGGTCACGCGGGTCTCGTCCTTCAACCTTTCGTCAAACAAACAGGCAAAGCATGTATAATGGCTCAACGCACAACCCCCTGAGGGTGCTCTTTGTTTACTCAACACAGTTTATAATTAGAGGGCACTCTCCCGACAGTGGCTGGGTGAAGATGCCTGGGACAACACATCGAGAGAGCTCCAAGTTCAACAGATTTACTAAGTGCAGAAAACAACGTACTAAGCAAAAAACAGGTAAGCTGCTGAAGTGCCAGACAAGGTATATTACTTGAAACTGGCTCTTCGCCCACTTCTGCTTAGCACTAAAAACTTGCCAAGCAGGGTATGCACTGTCGGTCAAGCTTCATATTTGAATGTATTCAAAGTTACTAATTTCTAAGAGATGCGGAAAAGACTAATTGATGCCAACCATGTAGTTTGGCTTATGTCCATGTTCCGGTGGAAACTAACCTAAACCGATTTTTGTATTTTCACAGACAAAAGACATAATTGTACAAGAGGCAAACAACAAATTATAATTTTGATCAACTCAGGCAACAGATGGTGGGCAAGAGCACCATGTGAAAGACCTTTCAGAATACCGTTCCTAAACTAATTATTTAAGACTTGGAAGAAACATCCAGCATCAGCTGCAACAGCGCAGCATCAGCAAAAATTGATCTGATAAAAGCAGTGTGTCCTACCGCTCGACAAACTCCGTGGAGTGGGCGTCGGCTGACTGCAGGATCTTGGTGAATTCCTTGTCCATGCGTTCCACGATGGTCAACACACAGCCTCGGATGCGATACGGTTTCTCCTGCAGTGACAATGTCACAGGCATCATTTCAAAATCATTGACTGCGTTCGAGTGTGCAGCTGATGTTACCAAACAGGGGTGTACTCCTAAATGCACACACAGCATACTGGAGTACATGAGAGGGGTAAGCCAGTGTACACTGGCGATCTGACCAGAAGTGTATTCTTGCATCACACAGGTATTTCAGGCAAGCAGAATGATAAATATGACCGTTTCCATGACGTGATCTGACAGTGATACGCACAGAACATTCTCCTGCACCCATGAGGATCAAGAGCAGCATGCGCGAACATTTACCACGTGGTAGAAATTCCAATATCCTGTGCATTTTATGCCCTACGAAGGCCGAATCTGATCATTTTGACATCTCCACGCCAAAAGTTAATGGCTCTTCCCATTTGGTAAAGGGTCTCACACAGAAACAAGATTTAACCACCAATTTCCACATCTAGTGATCCAGACATTAACATATTATTTGTGATAGATCAACGTGGACTGCAAAAGGCATGCCAATTTTGTAAAAGTCCAAATTAAGGGGGAAAATTTCCCTTATGCTTACTTGGTGCAATTTTAAACCAGTTAGCTAGATATGCCAACACCCTCCATGTAAAAGGCTTTGGCAGATGTCAGACATTATCAGGGTTAGATGATTAGAAGTGTCGAGGTGTTTGGGCGTGTTGAGATGGCTTACCGAGAGCGTTTCTGCATCCTCCGGTACGTTCTCATTGATGGTGATGTCCGAGTTCTGTTTCTGGATCTCCAGCATCTCGGTGATGCAGTCCAGGCACCTAGCAACAGAGGATGGAAAACATAAGATCTCCCTCACTGCTATCTCTACATTTGGTAAAGGGTCTCACACAGAAACAAGATTTAACCACCAATTTCCACATCTTGCCAACATACACTATCGGGATGAAATGAAGACACCCACAGATCTGTACTGAGCAAAATTAGTTTTGAGGTCCTGTCATTCAGAAGTAGGTCGGGCAACTTCAGACTATAGTGATGAGCCACTAATGGAAGTGCCTATCATTTTCCTCCACTCTTGATGATATCATATTCAAGTCTGACCTTGAAATGCTCTTGTATCAATTGAAGCCCATGGTCGCCATCTTACTTTGCCCAATACAACGGTGCTCACTGGCTAGCATGCTATTATGTTTGCCACACACCACTAGGATCACAATGGTGAGTCAGCGTCTGTATTATTTGGCAATCAGCTCTATGTGAAGATTAAAGACAGTGTGGGTCCAGACTAGTTGATATGATGTCCGCCCCTGCACTGTTGCAGAGCCATGAACAGAATCAGATGAGACACGAGTGTCACCACTGTTGGAAACAAACTGGTAGATGTCTGTGCAAATGCACAAGGACAGCGGGCGTACAATAGCCACACGTTCTACTGTAAATGGTAAGTCATTACGTTTCCAGAATCTGAAGGTGGCGCTGCTCTCTCTACATTCAGCGCTGCACTCTTGGCCTAAAACACGTGATCATTTACATGTGCACACACCTTCAATAGCCATTTCCCCCCCTCTTCCTTTTTCCCCCCCTCAAAGTGACCCCTTCTGGTGTCCTCCCTCCCCTCAAAGTGACCCCTTCTGGTGTCCTCCCTCCCCTCAAAGTGACCCCTTCTGGTGTCCTCCCTCCCCTCAAAGTGACCCCTTCTGGTGTCCTCCCTCCCCTCAAAGTGACCCCTTCTGGTGTCCTCCCTCCCCCTTTTCCTTCATCAAGTTGACTTACTTGGCCCACATGTCCGGCTTCATGCAGGTGGCCACGTTGGGGTTGTAGTCAAAGATGGCCGCCGTGATGTTGAACAGCACCTTGAGGTCTATGGCCACGCCCAGGCCATTCTGGCTGGCGATGGCCCGCAGCTCCCGCAGCAGCTCAATCTGCTCCTTGCGGTTGGTGCCCTTACGGCCGCGGGCCGACACAATCTCGTGCAGCTTCTTAATGACCAGGCTGTGGGTGATCTCCGTGCCTTTGTCAAACATAACCTGGGGGGGGGGATGTTTGTAGTGCAAAAAAGAAAAGGGAACAGCTTTGAAAGCCCCACACCGCGGCACTTCTCATTGGTGATGACTGCTTAGCAAATGTATGTGCCAAGAAATATTAGTGGGGAACCAGTTGGAAACAATGTATATTACACTAGGTTTTCTGGTTGGTAATCTGTTGGCTAATCAAATACCGTTTGCGCTCAGCAAGAAACTTATTTCACTTGGGATGCAAAGAAGTAGAATTCAGTGTTTCCCAACCTACAGAAGTAGCCTGGCAGTCCACTAAGTTTTACTGATCTCCCATCCAGTGCTGTAATAGAGACTATCACAAGACATGACTAAAGACAATTCTCAAGACTAGTCGCAAGACTGATCATCAGGGTGAAGAGTAACAAAGGAATGCTTTTGTTGTCGTTCATTTGAATAGCTAGTGCCTTGAATTCAGACTAGAAGTCTTATGTTGGTCTCATGACTGTCTCCAGGGGTCTCGACGACAAGAGTGCTCCCACCATGTTCAAAAAGGAGCCACCAAACTTTCATATCTGGCCACTGAGTTGGGCATTTTGGGGTGCTAAGTTAACCCTAACCCCCTAGGGTTCATGTAAAATCGTATTGAAATTGGAGGATTTGGGAGTGTTAGGGTTAATACTCTGGAACATTCCACCTTGCACAACATCGTTTTACAGAAAAAAAGATGTCTGCCAATCTCTAAAATTTCTCCAAATGACAGGAAAAAAATAACCTCTAATATGCCCAGCAACGTACTAGGCTTTCATTTCAAAATTTGAGGACTCTTATGTGGGCCTGAACCCCACGCTTTCCCCTATTAATAATTTTTCAGTTCCCATCGAGATTAAAATTAAGAACATGGAAACACTGAAACTCATAAGTATCTATTTTCTCCTCCCACCCCACCTTTTTTTTCAGTCTCATTGATGTAAACCTTAAAACTAGATTTCACTATACAAGAGCCCAAAGCCCCCCCCACAATTTCTCCAATATCGTCACAGTGCATTTTCTTCACGTGCCAAGCCTCAAGGAATTTCTAAGCAACATCTTGCTGCAGTTTTAACACCAACTTTGTGAACACTAGTCATGGGTTTTTCAACATGCATTTTACAAAACGGGTCCATACTCCATGGAAGACAAATCCATACTTTTCCACTGATGTGCTCTATGCAAGCAGGCCGACCAGCGTGGGGCCACTAACTTCAAATGACCGTAACATCAAAACCCTATATCAGATTTAATTGTAATTTGTACTTGGGCACATAGGCTTTATACACGGAGTCAAGGAGCCCGAAATTGGACAAAAGAGCTGGGTCTTGTAACAAAAGACCATACTCAGAACAAAAGACTGAGCCGCTGGGAATTGTCAACATTTTTTCAGTTGTCAATAGCGCAGGAAATCCGTCATTGTTTTGAAAGATTATACCACTATTTGTAGCATTCAGAACGAGCGGATTACCACCAGGGACAAAAGCGCTCCAGTAATGAGCGATACAATACCGCTGCACGCTAAGCTGTCCCCTATTGAAAAGACGCCAGCAGCGCACTGTGCCAGTTTCAAGGATCAAAAGAAACGTATGTAACACAGCACAATCTGGACTCTTTTTACAAGACGGCAGGCCTGGCTGAAATACTCGGGCATCAATAGATGTTGCCTGTCAGATTAGAGTAGCCACCAGACAGTTATTCATGTACGTGTAAACGTCTAGTAAATGAAGTTATGATTTTTCAAAGAATTTTGAAAACGGAAAATCCTGAAAATCCTCCGCGATTACGTCATGCAACTTCAAATTAAACCCGGCAGCATAAGGTTAAGGGTAACTCCCATACGTCTCAGTTGTCCAAAGTGAAAGAAACGAAAAAACAGAAACCGACTGTGATCTCACCTTACTGATGGGCAGCCCCTTGGTGACCTTTGTCCATTCCTCGTCGCCTTCTTCCTCTTCTTCCTGCTTGGCTCGCCTGGCCTCGCGCTCCTTACGACGCTGAAGACGCCGGTTCTCGTGACGGACCTCCTTCTCTGGATTATTCCTTTAATATGAGAAAAAAAACAGGTACAAATGTAGGGGCTTGTTTCTCAAAACAAAATCTATGCAGCAAGTCAGCACATGCAGTATTTTTGATGTGATCAGCAAAGACATCAAAGTGAAGATACCACTCTCCTGATGAAGGTCAGATCACACTGTCAACACAAGTCTTGCAAATCTCTTCAGTGCCTCACTCACAAGACATCTACACAGACCCACCACAAACCTTTATCTTATAAAAGATGACTATTTGCAATCAAGAATTCTGCAAGTCATGCAGTATGTTGATATTTTGAAAATAACATACAGGCAGTAATAAATATAGGAGAATGTTATTTCACTGGGTTCTTTTTTTCCCCCAAAGAAGGAAAAACTTCCTACCTTGTGTTTCATTCCACAAAGGTCAATTAGTATTAAAGGTCAACAATTATTCCTTCACAGATGGAGAACGGATTGAAACAGCGTTGTGGTCAAGTCTAGCACAAGTAACTTTACAAGTCCCGTCACAAACTCTTTCTCAAGACCAGTCACAGGTAACAGAACCAACAATGACAAAGGAATGTCATTCTCATGGCTCGTTTGGATAGCTTGTCCCTTGGCTAAAGACCCGTTGACTTGCGATGGTCTCGGAAGGAACTTGCAATGGACACTCGTCTACAAGACCGGACTGAGGACACCGTTCCTTACGATTTCAAGAAGTAGGCAGCTGTGAGTCCCCCGTAGCCCTCTATGCCAGCCTCGGCATCCGAGCTGGAGCTTTCGCTTTCCGTGCTGTCGTCCCAGAAGCTGCTGTCACTGTCGCTGTCATCATCCTGCTAAAGATAAGCGAGGAAAGAATTCAAGTTAGGCTCTTTTCCAGGCACCATTTTCTCTCGAGGTCCATAATGCTTGAGATAAAAAGCTGATCCGTTATCACCCAGAACAGCTTGAAAATGCTGCATTATATCTCAAGATGCCATTTACAAGTGGAAGTTACTCCAACCTGGGCGTTCAATTATGAATGTCTTCTGCGATACACAAATTTTATTTATTTTAATTCAACCCACGGCAGAGCCCTATCAGTTCTAAATAGTTCTCCCAAGGGGCACGGGATGGACAAGGAAGAATGGTCCAATTTTGGAATTGCGCAAAAAAAAACCCACCAGGCAGATACTCCAGAGGAAACCCCGTGGAGCCAGGTAGGTGCTAAGATCCATGCATCAGCCAGGGCGGGATTCGAACCTCTTGTTGCAATAGTGGAAGGCACAGAGATTACCACTAAGCTGACCTGACCCCACACATACTACACGTAGTTCAGGTTGAGCACTGCTACCGGCAGCCTACATCCTGGAGCAATACTTTTCTATTGTTTATTGTCACAGTGGGTCTTACATCGTCGCCACAGTGAACAAGGTTCGCAGTAGCACGGGTGAGCCACTGGCACGCTGCATTACACTTCCTTATTTATTAAAACCCAGTAATCCGGGGGGGGGTTAACACAAAAATGAACATTCAGCAGATGAATTATTATTCAGTTGTCTCATCCAATCAAACGGTCAGTGCCCACCTTTGGTTTGGATGGTGCTCTCTTCAAGCCAGCCATGCTCAAGCCCTCCTCGTCATCAGATTCTGTCCAGACCCAAACACAGATCGACAAAAAATAAATCTTTCACAGCTTCCAAACTTTGATGGGTCTTTCTTTCACATCAACAAATCTAGCTGCTACTTTATTGTCAAAAACATAGATTATATTATGGATAAATGAGGATCAGTGAGTGCAAGGTAGCCTTCAGTACCAGGTATGAACATGCAAATGGGCACAATAACACTCCTCTGTCACAGACAACTGTAGTAAACAGATTAATTTTAGATAATCAATATGGCCCCAAGAGAAAAGGTTGTATCTCTATCTAAAGACTTTCCAAGCAATTTCAATCTAGATTTCCAGTTATTCAAATGACAAAATAATTATTACAAACCTAGCAGCACAATTTTTTCAGTGCGTCTGAATATTCAACCCTAAAAGAGCCGGGTTATTTTGGCCCCTCTCACAGCCGGGTGGGGGAGGATTCCATGCCCTCCCCCCCAAACTCGGCTGTGCTGCACTTGATTTGTTTGAAACTTGACATGCATGAACAGACACTCCTTATCATTACAAGCGTGAGGTTTCAAGTCAATCACTCTCAATAATTTTGTTGTTATGGTCGCTTGGAGTTCAAGGCTCAATGCACGTCAGCTCGCATGCACTGAGTGTCACAGTAGAAAAAGTGTAGTGTTTCCTGACCTGTCTCTGAAAAATTGGAGTTGGGCAAGAACAAGGTCAGTTATCACAAATTTGTGCCAGAATGACAGTAAAGACTTACTCTGAACACTGCCAACGGCTCAACTCCTGAAAAAAATGCACTGCAGAGTTACTGGGGAACAAAATGTCACGGGGGAAGGGGCGGATTCTCCCACCCCTCCCCAGGCTCTTTTAGGATTAAGGCTTTATTGTTTGGATAAAACTCAGTTTGACGGAGCAGGGTCGCACTGTCTCATGTAGAGTTTTTTGGGCAAAGCGAGTGCTGCTTCCTAGAAAACGGACGGTTCTCAAATCTCACCGCTCTCATCTCCACTGACTTCCTCTTCTTCTTCCTCTTCTTCCTCTTTCTCTACGTCTGGATTCTGGAAGACAACATTTCAAAATTAGGCAGCTTTCATTAAAAAAACTAACACTGATCACACTGATTACTCCCACGGGCTTAGTCTCCAGCTTCAAGTCTCTCTTACCCACTAATTAACCAAGTGCGTCCACTCAGTCACTATAGTGGGTATCAAACATCAACAAGCATGGTGCCTGGGGCCAGACTTCCTTTACACCCTTCAAAGGCCCAAAAACCTCCCAGTAGATTTTGGGGGATTTGGGGAGGCTGCGGTAAAAAAAACTTATGGGAAACGTACAGACTCCGATGGCAAACTAATGTCGTCCTTTTTGATGCCAACACGCACCTCTTTATATTCATTGATGGGCTCCTCGTAGTCTCGGCAGTATTTGCGGAGCTTCTGTCGGAGTGTGGACAGGGCCTTGGCGTTCATCTTGGACAACTTCTTTTTGTCCTCCCAACACTGGAGAAAAAAAAGGAACAAAATATTAACAGTTATGATCAATGTGGTGTCCCAATAATGCCGGCATCCATCTGTTCGATGATCTTTGATCACAAGCCTTGATTTTGGTGCTGTTTATATTACTCAAGCAAACCTCACACAGGCTGTAACAGATCAACTTTTTATGTCCCAAGCAAAGTCTCGCTCCCAGTCTATGACAATTCTTTTTCTAACCTTGACAAAAAAAGTCCAAGCTAGTTCCCTAAACTCTACCAAAGTCTGGTTGCCCACCTCATTTACAAATTCCTCCAGCTCCACCAGTGTCCTGACGTAAAAGCGCGGCGGGGTGGTGCCCTCTGGGCACAGCACCTTCTGGGCCTTCTGGTAGACCCTGATCAGGTCATCAAAGCTGGACAGCACACGGGAGACGTCTCGGATCTTCTTCTGGTTCTTGATCTGCTTGATGACGTCCATGATTTCTTCATGTCTGGTGAAGAATTGATCCCAAAGTGGAAAAAAAAACACCCTCCACACACAGGCCACAATAAGCCCTCTGGTGATCTTACAGTAAATTTGCTGATCCCTTCATATCCTGGCTATGCTGTGACAATTTCTTTCTAAACTTGGCATGTGCATGGACATGTCCATGCAAATATGCAGAGTTTTAGCCTAATGAAGCAACTGTGCAGTAGACAAACAGGTTTTTATTTCAACAGAAAAACAACAACTTCTTAAAAGAAGTTATATCAATGCAAAGTTTAAGAAAACTTTGCAAGCTAATAATTCAGATGATTTTTACATGGTTTATTCTGACCATCAAGCATTAGATTTTATGTTTTGTGTTGGACTCCAAATAGTTGCACAATCAATAAGGTTGACAACACATAAGAACACATGCCGCTCTCAAACATTCCATTTTTACAGTTATTACGTCTTTAAAATTATGATTTTCAAAACTTTATTCTCATGCTGTCTTGATTTTTTTCAGCAGCGGGTTTCCACAACAGCATGATTGTGAGTTTGTTTCCATATTATGCCAAATAATTGTTATGTAGTCTATGGATTCTGAGAACAAATACTGGTCCCCAAAACGGTAATGAAGAATCTGAATTTTGGGGAGGAAAGCACATGAAATGCTTGTGGATATCACAAGAGAGCAAATAAAATTTCACTAGAAATTTCAAGGACTCATTCATAACAGCCACAAATTTGGGAATTTTGTACATAAAAACATTTGCTTAGCAATAAAAAAAGATTATCAATCAAGAGTTACACGTACAGTATAGTGCTACTGACTGGTTCACCACTGATTCTTGCTGTGCAAATACAAAAGTTGCTCAACTAAAAAAAAGGTTACCTGTTAAAATGTTACAGGTTTTAACCTGTGCTTTGCTAATTCTGGCTTAGCACAAAATTTGTTGAGGGTTTTCCCGCTGAATGGCATTATGAAAACACAAGGGTCAAAGCAGGGGACGTACCTCTTGGACTTGGCACTGCGCACCACCCGCTTGACCTCCTCCTCGCTGTCGCTGAGGAAGAAGCGCTGCTGGGGGATGGCCTTGGGCTGTATGGGCTCGTCATTGTCACTGGAGGATGACTCACTCTCGCTGGACGAGCCAGTGGCAAAGAAACGTGACGCCATGGCAGGATGCCAGCGGACGCTTACAGTAGCTTAGTCTGCAACCAGAAACAAGAACGTAGTTACTGATGCGGCACGGTTCCCACAGAGATCAGAAAACGAGTTCTGTGACTAATATAACAATTTTCAGGACATTTAATACCATTCTGCACAAAAAGTTGTTTGGTATTGTGAACTTGAAGACTGCCATAGCCACTACTATAGACTGACGTGGATACAGCCAGTAAACTTATTTTTTTATTATCACATCATAAGCAGCCCTTCCATGACCTTGACTTCCAAGAGTTTATAAGGCTTTTCCCTCTGAAAACAAGATTCCACGGCACAAGATTTTTCCTCATTTTCCATGACTCCTGCATCACTTTCAAGGACAACTTTTTCTCTAGGATTTTCTGTAGCCCTGGGAACCCTGTTGTGGGTCCTCGGCAATGGGACAGCCAGAAATATTCTGGCGAGCTGAATGAAACACGGTGTCTACTTGGACGAGGTGCGAATCGAATTCAGCTCAGTCAGAAAAAGATGCATTGTCTGTCCCATTCGTTAAGCCTTCAAACTGCATATAACGTAGGTCCTCGACAATGTATATACCCGATCAATACAGGCTCAGACCATTCCAACCTGACAATGATTCACTATGTTGTTATCAGCAGCACTAAGTTACCAGCTCAGCAATCCCATGAAACAAGCTTGAAGAGCAAACTGCAGCTCTATATGGTAAACCTCCCCATGGCATGAGACTAAACATATAAAACTAGAGCACGATGTACATATCGTCGGCGCACGTGTGCTGACACGGCATGCTTTTTGAGAATGGTCCACTAGGCCAGTGCACCGTGACATCATCTCCAGGACATTAACATAAAGTCTAAATTGCTATACGAAAGACATGAAGAAGATGACGACTTCGAGCTTGACGACAAGAGCATTTCTGATTTGAAAAAGAAATTTCTTTTTTATTCCTGTACATGAGTAAACGTTACCATCATTACTGGAATCTCTGATTCTCACTTCATCCTTAGCCAGGCACATCAGACAGTTTAACCCTCCTTTGGTTTTATAGCATAAATGTGCACAAATGCCCACATTCACTGGTGAGCATGTGTTTTCTATATGGAACTCAAACATGCACAAGTTCAGTGTGTACACAGTAGGTTGCCAGCACAAAATGACCCAGGGTCTTTTGTGCAGTCCTCTTCACTGCATTTGGTTTACTGCACAATTACGCACATGAAACAGTGAAGCACAGTTCTTGGGCAGCACAAAAGTGCAATCTGATATTCTTGTGAGGGACTGTTGGTGCAGTGCACAACACAACACAGCTTTGCTTCTTTGAGGTGTTCACCAAATGACCCAAAGAATGACTTCAGCATAGGAGGGTTAAGGGCCGTTTTGGAGGTGAATTCGGAGGCTTTTGATTCGGGGTATGACACTTTTTGAGCGAAATGAATTAATGGAAGCAAAAGTATATGGAAGGTACAGTACTTGGTCTCTACTATTGCCCAACCATGTCCAAATGTTAACAAAGGTAATTGTAAAGTTACTCAGACTACGTAAGGCCTACATTGGCAATACAGGCGATTCACAATGCATCTCCAAGAGTTTGCAACACGTTGACCAATCACAGGGCGTGAAATCTGTCAACACTTTCCAAAAGCGCATTGGGTTGACAGATTTCATGCACTGTGATTGGTCAACATGTTGCAAACTCTTGGAGATGCGCTTTTGTGAAACACCCATAGTGCTCTGTACAAAACTGTGACCAGGGGCACATTCAATTGCACAACACTTCGCGTACGTATGCATACCATAAAATTTAATGAGTTAAGGTACACAAGGTAGGCTAATACTCTACAGGTTGGGGACCAAACCACAATCTAACGATGACACCAGACTATGCATATGCTGCTCGTTTGGGCAATGACGATGTAATTTTTGAACTATTTTTAGATCACGGTTCGCAGATGACATCGATCTCTTTATCGGCCAAAAACAACTTGCTCTGATTGATCAAATTCACACGAAACGTGCTACCCAAGATCTGAATAAAACCTTCCTTTCATTTGGAATCTATAAAAGTGGATCGAGGAGATTTTTAGTCGAATCTTTATTATTATTATTTATTATTATCCATGTCAAGACATATGTAATACACGGACTGAGTGATAAGATACTACATGTACCAATGGGCTCTTCCAAAACTTGGACAGCATGTACCAATGGGCTCTTCCAAAACTTGGACAGCATGTACCAATGGGCTCTTCCAAAACCTGGACAGCAGTTTAGATATGTCTTGACATGGAACAGTCGTAGTCAATGACCTTATTTTAAAGATGGCGACTGTGAGAGCGAGCCTGTGAGATTGAATGGGTGAAGGCAAAATGACTGGAAAATACCACAACAACGTGAGTGAAATCATTCAATAAATGGCACTAAGAAAGCGGAGAGGCTAAGGATGAACTCTGTGTGTAAAAAAAATTGTGCCTACGATTATAAGAGGGTGCGCCGAACTTTTTCTCTCTACCGACATGCAAATTGCATATACGGATGCATGGCTATGGATGAAGCAGTAGCCAGAGTCTGTGCCACAAACAGCGCTGCTGGGGCTAGTCCCCGAGCTGCTATACCAGTGTACATAAGCCTTATTGCTGACACCGCATAAGTAATTTTGCGCAATGGTAGAAAGGAATTGTGGGAAGGGAAATGGAGCAAACATTGCCCCGTTTCCTTCCCACAATGGGTACGCATTGCGCTACTGAACGCGCCCCAGGATGACCATACGCCGACCCAATTAAGCGCGCGGATCGTAACACGAAGCACAAGTTTAAATTAAACTAAACATGCTATTGCTAAACTCTTCACAATTAAATAACTGGAGATAACTTTTTATGAGCACATACTACTAAATGTTTAAATGTTCGAGAAACACTTGCAAAGTATTAAAAAAGTGGTTCAGATTACTTACATGACACAAAAAGTGGACACAATCTGGAGACCCCTCAGCGCAACACTTGCGCAAAAAAATGACCCATGTGGGAACTTCGGGCTCGAACAAAATATACGTTCTTTTATTTACTACAACTTGATATCAAATTTTTTATTTTTATTTTACATTTTAATGTAAAACAATAAAATATATTATATATTTCAAAATCTCTTTTTTAACAAGGAATACTTATTTAAGATTGATATTGGATTATTGATAAAATGAACTTTTGATGAAAGCCATAATTTAGCGCAAAAATCATGACGTCATACAGGTTATGTTTGCGAGAATTTACGTGTTTGTATGAGATTTCATCAGAAAAGCACACACTCCGATGACGTATTTAAAGAGTACACACGTGCAGTTTTACCACCCGTTGACCAACACGTGTAGGCCTACATACATGTACATGTACATTTCCATCACTTGCTGCCAATGTTGGTTGTTCTTATGAGCTAACATCTTTGTCAAATATGGGTAAAAAAACGAAGACCGGAAAACAGAGGAAGGACAGATATTACCATCTAGCGAAAGAAACAGGTTTGTTACTCATTCTTCCTCAAAATTTGTTGCTACAGTGGAGGCCTATGCCGGTCGCGGGCCACACTCACGTCCGAGTAACTTGGACCAAAGCTCCATGCTTGGACGGACTGGGACTTACCCCCAGACCTGTGGGGTCTGACGTCCGCTCCTCTGCCACGTTTGAGGAGCGGACGTCGGACCCCACAGTTCTGGGGGGTAACTTGGACTCTAATGTTACAAATCGCCTTTTTAAACATTTGGACGTGGTTGGGCGATCATCGACCGTCCAAATGTTTAAAAAGGTGGCTTGTAAAGTCCAAGTTACTCAGAGTCAGACAACATATGACCATGGCCTAGGCTATGGCCTAACGTTTCTTGTTTGCATCGCTTTGCAGAGTTTACCACCCCTATAGGCATTTTGTCCTATTCCTATCCCCACTTTGTCCCATTTCCACTTCGCCCTATTGCCACTTTGCCCAAATGTTTATTATCTTTTGTTTTATGTTTAACCTTGGAGCAAGGAAACACCTAGGCCTACTCCTATAACTGTGGGTTTGACGTCCACCGTGCTCCCACGCATGTCGAACCCCACAATTTTGGGGGAAGGCCTACATTTAACCCAGGCAAAGGCTGCAACGTTGACAGTTTGTCTGCCCAACCAAACTAACCTTGACTAAAGGTTTCATTTCAATATAGGAAGTTGGCTAAGGAGAACATTACAATAAACATGATCATCCAGATGGTCTGAAGGCATCATGTCTTTTTAGCCAATGTGGATCATGCGCAAGCAACAGATTTATCTTATTTATTCAGTGCATTGAAGTCAGCGATGCTTCTCACTGTAAGGAGTGAAGTTACACTGAAAAGAGTACTTAATGCATGTTCTTAGTTTGAACAAAACTTGGTTATCGAAACCTTAGGTGTTACCACGTTTGTCATGTTTGTAGTGTTTATCTTGGGTGCTGGTCAGGTGATCTCTTACTGCCTAGTAATTATGTTTGTCTAATATGTTCCTAGTTCAGCCTATGAACTTTTAAGACACATACATGTACATATAATTGCAAAAGGAGAATATAAATGGAAGACATGCATTTTTTGTTTCTGCCTTTGAAAGTCAAGTCAGTTCGGAAATGGATTCACAAAATTAGATAATTGCTGAAACATTAAAATGTCCTTTATGAAATAATTAAAATATTAAAGAAGACATACATGTACACGGAGCCATAGAAGAGTACAGGCAAAAATTTGATAAATGTTGAAAAGAATGATACTGTTTCTTTCCTTATTACAATTTAGTGTCAAATTCGTTGTCACAATTGTTTCAATCCATGTCACCTGTTAAAAGGCACCAAACAATCAAGCACAGCTGGGGCAAAGTGGAAATGGGGTGATGTGGCAGTGGGGCGGAGGGGGGATGGGGCTGATATTTGTTCCTTTTTTCCTTCCCACAGTGCCTTTCTACTATTGTGCAAAATCACCCACGAAGTACATGTATTTGTATTGACGATAATGCTTGTTTTCAAAGGCAGAAGGATGGAATGTTGTTTTCATAGTGCAACTATCCTGAGCAACTGTAAACAATTTCTTGTTCTGAGTCTACTTTTATGTACAAAAAATGTATTATTGGCAACATTTCCAAGCTGGTGGGCCAATCTGCAGGGTATACGGCACCTCCCCTTGGAAGATCATCAACAGGTTCTCTCTGAATGGTTGTCACATGACAGCTTGACCAAGTGCAACATGGCTCCTATTTTGTCTTGTCGTTTTCCTGTCATCTTTAAGTAAAAGTCCTCTACTGTTTAAATTCAACCCAAGTTACCCAACACTTTTTAGGTGCAGGATGTTTTATTTTCTGTTTCTGGGACCAACTCGCAGCAACATGTATGGAGGATTTTTAATGAGAGATGAAGTCCAAAATTGCACTGCGTTTGAGTCTCATCTCATGAACTTTGGGCATGGTTTATTGGTCGATTGCGCTGTGCTATTACTGGGCAATATCCAACATTAAACAATCTTCCACAACCATGAATTACAAAGAAAAGGTGATTTGTTGATGGTGAGATTATTAACAAATCATGCAGTAAGATCAACCAATCAAGCAGAGATGGAACAATCATGGAGATCCAGCATTCATGCCTAGGATGAATACAAAGTTGCAATGACAATGTGACCGTGGCAGCAGGCAAATATTTGTTTCACTAAGAAAACTTTATATTGTCAATAAAGCTTCCTGTTCACGTTCAGTTTGTGCATTTTTATTGATGCAAAGTTAAATGGGAAGATGGGATATTGCCAAGTGGCCCAAATTCTTTATTTTCATTGGTGGCTGATTGCCAACCCGACAGAAATGTCAGATTTCATTTCTCATTGCAGGAAAAAAGTACATGTAGATTAAATTGGAAATTGATACCCACATGCTTTATTTCTCTGATCGTTATAGGTTATAGAGCCAGATCAGCCTTCAAGTTGATCCAGCTGAACCGGAAGTTCCAGTTTCTGCAACAGTCACGGGTTCTCGTCGACTTGTGTGCTGCTCCAGGAGGATGGTAAGAAGAAAGACTTGGTGTGATCCGGCTCCTGCCTTAAGCTTGTTTTTTTTAACTAGCCCACCGGGCAAGTTAATCTCGGATTCCACCCCTCTCCCCGACACTCAGCTGTGCCTGGCGCGATTTTTTAAAAATTGGCATGCACATAAAAGTACTCCATATTACAAATATGAAGTTTGAATTCAATCAGACGTTTTGTTGCCATTTGAAGTTCAAGCCGATATGCATGCCAGCCTGCATGTAATAAGCACTACAGTAGAAAAGGTATACATATTTGGCTCACCCATCTCAGAAAAATGCACGCTGCACAAGAACGATATGTCTGATTTTCATGATAATGGTGTCAAAATGACCGAAAAGAGTTACTCTGAAACCCCCGAAAGACTCAACTCCTGACAAAAATGCACTATGGCAATATCAGGCAAAATGTTTAGGGTTGGGGATGGAATCCACCCCCCCTTCCCCTGCATTTTCAGGGTTTACAGCATAGCACAGCAAGTGTATAAAAGTCTCATGCAAGTTGTTGCACTGTGCATTCAACAGCAGCCAGAAAAAAAGCCCATGTTGAGACAATTGGAGCTGGTCCCATATAACAATGCCACTGCTGGCTATTATGATGGCTTGTAACCACAGTCCATGGGGCTGATATGGGGATAGCTGACCTGTTGGGTTTTGTTGCACTGGGCAGGCAAGCCCCAATGTGTCTGGTAGGGTTTTCTAGCCAAAATACTGTGGAGGGTTAAGGATGACTACAGTGGTAGGCATTGACCTACTGCAAGGAATATCAGGCTAAAAAAAATGCAAGCAAGACCTTTTCCATTGGAGTCTCTGTAGGTTTTGCATGTTCTCCATGTGGATTTTGGTTATATCTAGTAGACTTGCAAAAACTCGCGCCAAAAGAGCCGGAGTTATCTCTGATGCAGGACTTGTAATCACCTTTTGACCAATCAGAGTGCTGTTATTCTAACTTTAATACCCATCTTTTTTTGTCATTTAGGAATTTTGTTTTATCAGGGCAAACTTTTGTTTTTCGGAACAGAAGAAAGAAATCAGTGTATGTCAGGTTTTTTGTCACTGAGATTATTCTCTTTCTGTTGCAACCTGTCAGGCTGCAAGTTGCTGCCAGGAACATGCCCATGTCCAGCCTCATTGTGGGCGTGGATCTGTTTCCCATCCGCCCTATTCCACATGTCACCACCATCGTGGCTGATATCACCACTGAAAAATGCAGACAGGTAAACTTGTCAAAATACAGAGCAGGAGCTCTACCCCAGCTTAATACATGTTTCCTGCGTGGTATATGTTTAAAGGTCCTCAGATATTGAAAACAAAAGTAATGCTAGAACTGATTCTTAAACAGTAACTAACAGATAAGAAACAGAGCTACTTGTACATGTATTTTTGTGTTTTGATAAATTGTCAAGATTTAAGACAGAGAAAAAAATACACCAATAAAAAAATTCTCCTGTGTGGCTCTGTCATTGGCTAAATAGCACACTGGAGTTTGGAATTGTGTACAAACTGCAAGGCATTCACAAAAAGCAGAACACAGGTGATGAACGCATGTGATAGTCTGTATTGAAGGCAGTAAACATCATCTGGTAAAATTGATGGTAAGGCCCTCGGCCGTAGGAAAAGGACATTGCAGAATCCAAGACAGACTTTTACAGAAAACTTTACTCTTGGTCTTCTTCTGATCATGAGGCTCTGAGGAAAGAACTTCAGACGTGGAAAGCGGACTGTGTCCTTCATGACGGTGCTCCGAATGTGGGAACCAGCTGGGTCCTGGATGCCTTTACACAAGGTTAAAAAAAATAGGTCAAACAATGTCATAGCTAAGGGGGGGACACTCCTCGACCAATCCCCCCCTAATTCCATTATTCCCCAGGTTCAATCCCTTCTACAAAACCCCCATAATTTGCCTATCGCCAAGGAAATGGCTTTTCAAAAGTGTGTTTTGTCAGTAATAAAATATGAAAAGACTGGAGCTTAATAGTAGCTGTACGTGATATTAATCCCCTTCATCCCGTTTCTTAATGAATTGTGATTAAATTTGTCAGGAAAAAAGTGCCCTCTAGTGTCCAAAAAGGTCCAACCTAAATATTATGTTGGTGTCACCCACTTTCCCTGACTAAATCCTGGCTATACCACTGAGCTCAAGACAATTGCATTGCAATTCCAGTGCAAGCCCTAAGAAACACAATTGGGAAAAACAGGAGTTTTAGACATTTTGGGAGTTATTCTGCAAGTGGCTTTTTCTCCAGGTAGCACATGATTTGGTAGAACAAAACAACTTAAAAACAAATACAAATTCTTTTTCGAATAGACAGTGTTACAAAATGTTATCCTTTAATTGACAACTTTCATGTAGAGGAGCAGTAAAATCGTTTTATCTTCTTTCCATTACACGGTTTTAATTCCAAGCACCAATATCTATCCACCAACAGCCCAGCTGACTTTGTCAGCAGTGAAGCTGGCCTCTGAGTTCCTCACAAAGGGTGGCTGGTTTGTCAGCAAGCTCTTCCGTTCCAAGGACTACCAGCCCATCATGTGGGTTCTCAACCAGCTCTTCAAGAAGGTCCATGCCACCAAGCCCCAGGCCTCCCGCAGTGAGTCGGCTGAGATCTTTGTTGTCTGCCAGGGCTACTCAGCTCCAGACAAGATTGGTGAGCAAATTTCAGCTTTAAACCCTTGCAAGGAATAAAGTTAACTAACACCTATGTACAGAGTCACAATCAAAATCTGAAACTCAAAAAGCAAAAATGTAAATCTGATGTTTACAGGAGCATGCTACTTGCGGGCTTGAAGTTGAGACTATCATAAGCTATCACAAGTCCAGTCACTAGAAACAGGGAATGAGCAATAAGATATGAAAGTCTTTACCAAAGTTTAATGGTTGACTTGAGACTTGACGAGACTTATGAGGATTTGTGAGGCTTTTCAATGGACTCAACTGCAGCATGGCTTCATAGCATTGGTCGTTTCTCATAATTTGTTAATCATTCTACAAACTAGAGACAATTAGTTACACAAATTAACTGCATTCAAATGTATTTTAGATCGACCATACTCATTTCGTAAGGTTTTTCTGAAATCATTGAAAATTTGCAACATTTTTAACATCCACACGTGGTAACTTTGAAGACAGTGAATTCAACCATTTGCCATCACCTTTTTCATGAAGTTGCAAATATATGTGTTACTGATGGAATGCTTTCCTCATTTAAAAACAATAGTTTGTGTGGTTCAAAACTTTGTGAAAATGGTGACAATTTGTGTGCTGTGACATTACCATGCCATGACGTTGAGCCCCATTTAAATATTACATGGAAAGTGTGAAAATGTTTGCGCATGGCAAAGTGTTTAAGACTCCATTACGGCTCTGTTCCTGATACAGATCCAAAGTTCTTTGACCCCAAGGCCATCTTCAATGAGGTTGCCATGGAGACCAAGAAGAAGTTTGCCATCCTGGCCGACCCGAACAAGCCCCACAAGCCTAAGGCAGAAGGATACACGGAGGGCGACTACACGCAGCACACAGCAGTCAAAGTCACCGAATTCATAGCATCTGATTCCCCAGTCGAGTTGCTGAACAGCGCGAGTGAGGTAAGAAATATCCAAAGCCACCAAGGCAGGATGATGGTGGATTTGAAGTTAAAGCAGGTGTGCACGCGCATTTGTTGTGTTTCATAAATCAGTCATGGCCATGTTGAATCTGTGAGTGAGGTGTGTGCTTTGAGCGGTAGAATAGAACCAGCCTCCAGTTGCATCCACTGCGTGTTTTCTTTGCACACTGCAAAATGCTGTAGCGTATACATCATGTACAAGATTCTGCCCTGCCCCCCCGGGCGCTAACCATCGCCTTTCGAGACGAGGATGCGGACACCCATCACATGCATTACAAACTGTAAAGTAAACCTGGTAGCAAGTCAGAGAGGTGCAAAGTTTGAGATTGCAACGGGGTAGAAATTTTTAAAAGCAAGGTTAAGTTGACACTAGAAGACACATCAGGACAGCAAAAATGGGTTATGAATGCAAACTCTTAGGCAGGGAAAGTAGATCTGAATCTAAAACTTGGGACGGTGGAAATAGAAGAAACTCCGCTTTGCAACAAACAAAACCCTTGCTGTACACCTGAGTAAACCTGCCTACTGGCAAAATGGAGGACTTATCTTTGTTCCCCTTCACAGCTGGTCTTTGATGACGTGTCCATCGCCAACCACAGCTTGACCACTCAGGAGCTCAAGTATTGCTGCAGGGACATCAAGGTGCTGGGAAGGAAGGAGATCCGACTGCTCCTGAACTGGCAGAAGAAGCTGGCCAAGGAGGCGGCCGAGAGGGCAGAGGCCAAGAGCGAGGCAGCCCAGGAAGAGGAGGAGAAAGAGAAGGAAGAAGCAGAGGCACCAGATGGGTGAGTCATTTAACCACTTCAGACCAGATGACATGAAAAATATGAGGAGTTCCTCGCGTTTCCTCTTGCCTAAAAGCGATGTCTTATGACAAGATATCGCCACTTGACATATAATGAACCTTGGAGGTCACATGCTCATTTTTTACTGCACCCATGCTTTTTAAAACTCAGAGACAATGTCACAAAGCACCATTTGCTTAAAAAAATCAATGAGAATTGCTCAAGCACGGTGACAAGTACAGGCTTCACCAGGCACTGCATACAGAATTGGCCAGAGCGTGTTTAAATGTCCTCAGTGTTATGAGTAGAAAATCCCAGCGTGTCTACCCATCATTGGGCAGGAAGTGGTCAAGGTCCGTCTTCCATTCCCCACGACGGTGATGATTTCGACCCCCATTTCATGAAAAGTATGAGCCTACCCCGAAAGAGAGCACACTGTGAGAAATTCGAGAACTGCAGTCAGTAGATAATGCTTGGACACATAACCGTCGGGCGTTGTATCTGTCCTAGTCAAGAGCAACTCAGCATGTCCATTAACAGAACCAGGGAAGAGGGCATTGAGGGCCGTGTTCCCCTCACCCAACGGGACAACTTGGTCAACTTGTAAATACTTTTTAGTATTTGATTGTAGAGGTTTGATGAGTCATTCCTTTAATAATCCATCCTGTACAGAGAGGCTGACGATGAAGCAGACAGTGAAGATGAGCTGGAAGAGATCAACAGGCAGCTACAGGAAGCCAAGGAGGAAGAGAAGACTGCCCTCAAGAGGTGAGGAAAGCCAGGTCAAAGGTTGTTACAAAGCAGCAGCACCTTCAGTAGCAACCTTCAGCAACAAGAAGAACTAGAAGCAATAACTGCAGTGGCACAACGCTTGTGACGGGGTGCACACACGGCATGCCTCTCCTACCACGCGTAGGTCAAGGTTAAGAATGCATCCATGACTGCAGTGCTGCCACGATTCAAGCATTGCTATTGATTTGTCTGTAGAGTTTCTTCAGGAGTTGGTCATATTAAATCGAAAGTGTGGCTAACTTTTCATTTCCCTTTTGGTTTCCGCTTAGGACGATGAAGAGTTCAAAATTTGCTATTACATTTATCTAAATGGTTTAAGCCACTGGAAAAGGAAACAGAAAGTGTGGCTTGGAATCTCAAATAGTTTGGCACCACCATCCCCTTCAAAAGTTGACATTGAATAAGATTCAATAAGGTTCAGGGAACATGATAAAAAATGGCGTCCCCTAAAATATTGCTTCCCTCCCTTGCCAAATGCTTTCCTACTGCAATGGTAGCTGGTCTTTTAGAGACTCTGTGGTTGTGTTACTGCCTCACAATGTGATTGGACCTCATTTCTCCTTTTTTTTCTTTCGTTTTGTTAAAGTTGGTTTCAATTTTTCTCTCCCCAGAAAAAGGAAAGACCAGCTAAAACGGCGCAAGAAGTTGCGGGAGCGTTTGCAGAAAGCCATGGCCGTGACGACTGGACAGAATGACACTGTGGAAGCTGCATCACTGTTTGCCTTACAAAACATGAAAAATAAAAAAGTGAGACGAAATCTTGAAACTGGCTACTTGATCAGTACATGACAACACCCTCTGGCATTAAAAAATGAAGAAAACGTGAAACTTCTACGGAATGGATCAGCTATGGCCCCTTGTCCCAGCACTGGTCACAGTAACCTATGCTGTTTCGCTTTCAGACTTCAATTTTATGAAGAAGACTTGATGGCTCATCACAGCTTCATTTTCAGCTACAGAAATGTCAGACATAAGGCCATAGTTTGGAGAAGTTTTGAGCCTGTGATGATGCCATGCCTGAAACTATGCTGGGAATCAAGAGATTGTCCACATTCACACATGTGGCAGTGTTTCATAGGGTCTGCTCCTTGTTACATAACAGTCATGTTTTCCTACAAAGTGGCTGCTAAAACTGTGGCTGGCCATCAGCTCAAAAGTAAGAGCACAATTCACACAAAGGAGTTGAAAATCCCGTGCAGATATCAAAACACCCAAAAATAAACACCTGTACTTACTCAATTCTAAATTAAAACACAACCCCCATTAAAATGAATGGGACAAATGTACTTTTGGACAAAATTGAGGTGAATGGAAAACCAGCCAAAGGGTAAGTTTCCTGCAATCTCTGGCCCTCCGTACAAATTGTAGACAAAACAGGAGTGGTCTAAACATGAACTTGCTAAGCAGGAAAAAAAGTTGAGAACTAGTTAGATTTATCAGCTTCGGCTGGTAATCTGTTACTGCTTAGCAAACATCTGCCATGCTCCGCACACTTCTGTGCTCAGAAGTCCAATGAACTTGGGTCCAGATGAAAGAGGGAGCATTTATCAAAGCATTGCCATCAACCTGACTTCATTTTTAGTTCGTGTCATTTCACCCTGATACAGGATTCCAAAAATTAAATTTCCCTCAGTAAATGCAGACACACCCTCAAAAGCTATGCAGGGCCGAAAAAGTGATTCTATTCCTTTTCGACAGCAACTTCAAGTCATCAGCCAGGACGACTCGGAAATAGTGGACAAGGTGGCCCAGGAAGAGGAGGACCACGATTCAGAGATTGAGGCCCTGACCAGACAGCCCTCGGACAGCGAGAGCGACTTGCCCAGTGAGCTGGACTCAGACGAGGCCCAGATCCTGATGGAGGAGAGGCTTGCCAAGAGGAGGAAGAAAGGAGGCGGGAGCAGCGACGATGAGGTCGACGACAAAGATGATTCGGATGTGTGAGTGTCTAACCTCTCATATCACATTAAGTGTGGATTTTCTTTCCGTCTTTGTTCCCTGCTCCAAAGTCTTAAGAATGACTGGAATTGGGGACATTGGTCAAGTTGTGTTAAGAAGTTTGTGAGAAACCGAAAACATGTTTGCTCCACCTGTCTATCCCGAAATGTTTGTAATCAAGTGTTTCCTCAAACTAGTTGTACCTTGAGAAAGATTCTGCTAGGATCCAAATGTCATACCTTCTGACTTTTCTGATTTGTGCATTTCAAGTCTCTGTAGCCAACGAGCAGCTTGCAGCAGTTTTGTATTTTACAGTTCTGGGAAACGGTTGTAATTTAATGCCATACTCTGAATTTGTTCTGCCAATGTGTCCTCCTTTGCATTCACGTTTAAGGTTGGATTGGGGAGGAGGCCATCAGGGGTCATACCAAGTCCCCCCACCCCCAGCAAAAGCATTTGGGGGGGGGGAATAATGAGAGAAGGGCAGTTTTTTTTCCCACCATTTTTTCCTCTTTTTCCTTCCCCTTCTTTCCAAAAAGCATAAAGTACCAATACGTGGCCTAAAACCCCAGAGAGACCAGAAATGATTTTACACGTTAAAAATCCAAAACACTTTGCCGTGAAACCAACTTTGCCCACCCCCCAAAAAAAGGTTGGTTCTGATTCCACCTGTGTTTATTCTTTGTAAAATTTGTCCTGCAAATGACTCTATAAAAAAAAGGTTTGTACATGTATTTTCATTTCCTTTTGTTTTATTTAAAACAAGGATTCTGGTTTTCATGAAAAAAAAAAGCTGCTGCCAATTTTCCATGTAAGACTTCGTTGCAGTGAAATTGGGTCCCTGTTTTTTTGGGACAGTGATTTTGGAGCTGAGAATGAGGAGCTTAAGAAGAATCCCCTGATGGTGGACCTCGACACGACAGACCACAACACCAGGTCCCAGCGACGCACCGACATGTGGTTCAACAAGGTAAAGGAGAAGATTGTGCTCAGGCCCCCTGGAAAAATCACTCATCATTTGTTACGGTCCGCTACCAGAAGCACACCCGTCCCCTGAGTGTGAACCAAATATCGTTTCTGAGAAATGAAGCACAAGCTATACAATCAATTGTCTTCGTTTTGAAGGTAGTGGCAGGCCGGTTACTCGTGAAGATCGTATCTCAGGAATCTTGACATCTAGATGCAGCATGGAATTACAAGCTTGGAATTCCCGAAACTAAGTGCTCAAAGTGTTTGGGAAGGGGACAGCTGAGAGAACGTTTGGTCAAGTACCACGTGTTGGTCAACATCAACTTGTGTACATTTGTCTGCCAGGTTTGCCCCCCTGGCTCCCTGCTGTATAAAGCTGTATGTGTAGCTTTTGGTAACCAGTGATGCAAGCAATCTTAATTGCCTGACCCCATAAAGTCCTCCTAACCTGTCCAACCTTTTGTCCAAGTCCAAGCATTGGAGTGATATTAGTAGAACTTTGCTACATGTGCTCTACACTTCGTAATTCAGAAGAACGAATGTGTGGGAGTAAAAATGCATGCAGTTACCAGATGGGGTTTTATATTTTAATCATGCAACTACCAAACTTGTTGCTTCTTTTCGTTCCCTTTCAGCCAATTTTCTCTGGCCTTGAGGCAGAGGAGGATGAGGATTTTGAGATCTCTCAAATGACAGACAACTATCGGCAACAGGGCGGCTCCATCATAGGTGGGTTTGTTTCTAGCTGTGCAGTATTTCAGCCTGAACCTTTTCTCCTGGCTCTCATATTTATAAGATGTGACTCTCATAATGGGCCATTTTTTTTTTATATTTGGAGTTTTGCCTGTTGAAGAGTAAAACTCCCTGTATACAAATATTGGCTCTGAACAGTGGGTATAAAGCCTCTTACCCAGGGTTGATATTGGACAAGCACAAAAAGCATGTAGACACAATCTATATGTTCCTATGCTCATTTTTGGCATACCTGTGAAAACTCCCTCAGTGTGCCATCGATGAAAACAAAAACTGTGTATGAATTGGTTTCTTTTTCATGGAAAGGTATAGTGTCTGCTTATCTGAAATAGGTTCAATGTTTCTTCTCTAAGTTCTTTTACTACTTTGTGAAATTCCTTCATATTGTCAGAAGTAACGCTAGCATAGAAAGGTTAACGAAGTTCCTTCGGAAGAATGAAATTAAGATCAAAACAAAAGAGTCACAAAGTCAAACATATTTTTGTACTGTCAACTTGTAGAGAGGCGTAAAAGAGAGAGCGGAGACGAGACCGATGAAGAGGTATGGAAAGTGACGCGGACCAAATCCTCAAAGTCCAAGAGCGTCCGATTCGACACCAGCATTACCAGCATCACAGACCAGGGCCAGAAGGAAGAGGAAGAACTGCCCTCGGACAGCAGCGAGGATTCTGACTCGGGTAATGCCCTGAACGGTGTCCCTGGCAACAGGATGGAGCACAGCGACGACAGCGACAGTGATTACGATGATGAGGTGATGATCCGGGAGATGATGGACACCAAGGGGACAGATCAGGGTCCCGTCAAGGACAAGGAAGCGTCCAAGAAGAAGTCTGCAAAGGAAAAGAGCGGCCTTGAGGTCACACCAGCAGAAGACAAAGGTTAGTCTTTGAAGCACGTCATATTCTACGACGCGGTACAAAGAAGCCTTTTTCAAGTTCTTCCCTAAAGGGAGATCAAAATTGTTGTGGGGGCTGAAAGATTTAAAAATTGCTTCGTCTCTTTCCGAAGGGTGAGTCAAACTTTTGGGGCTTTTAACATTACTTTTTGGATGGGAGGAATACGAGAATATTCCCCAAAATTCCTTTTTTTTCATTTTTTAAATAAAAAGATTTGCTGTTTTGGACCCCCCCTCGGATATACAAAATGTCTTCCCTAGTAATACCTTACTGGGAAACTTTATCAGGATGTTACTTTTTCCTCCGATGACATTGGTCACAGTGCAAGTAAAATGCCAAGTGATTCTTTCTCTCTCTGTAATTCTTGCTGTGTTCTCTCTCATTTAAAGTTGTTCACCTTGTGATCTTTGGTTGGCACTTTTCAATAAAAACAGAGATTAGATTTGTTAAGTTTGACAATTCTGACCTGATCTAATTACAGTCATTTGCAAAAGTTTAACACCACTCGGAATTTTATTGGTATATCTGTCACTGGGCCTCCATTACATTGTCTCGTTGAATGACTAAAATGTTTTTGCAGCGGTCCCAAACTTTTGCAAATGACTGTAAATGAGTCGTAAGTCCCGAGAGCCGTATTTGAGCTGAAGGTCTGTAAAAGAATCGTGCACAGTGTAATCAACCCAAACGTAAAATTTTTTCCACCGACTTTTTCACCAGGATGCCAAACCTAGTCATACATTAAAACATTGAGTTAAGTATAATCCTTCAAATACCGACAAAAACAGAGCTACACGGAAAAAAATGGCCTCCAGACTCGTGTTGTTGGATCTGGCCATATTTTTTGAGAACTTGCCACAGGCTCGACTTCAACACCGGTTGTCTCGTAATCGATTATAGTATCAGTAAATCTTTCAGTCAAAAATATTGTTTCTTTCTGGCTCACCAGCTGCCTACGTCAAGTACCTAGACCCAGAGGGCCTTGCCGTGGGAACCCTCATGGCCACCTCAAAGAAGAAACGCCGGGAGATCATCGAGCATGCCTACAATCGCTACTCCTACGGTGAGGAGTCCCTGCCGTCTTGGTTCAAAGAAGAGGAGGTCAAACACACCAGGAAACAGTTGCCTGTTACCAAGGTAACCACAGTTTACCCCAGGAAAAAAAAAGGACTATGGCTCCAGCCTGTGATTGGAGAACTGGAAAGCAAGATTGCTCTTAACATTGATCGATACTTAGTTTTTCAAGGACACCAGAAAGTTCAAGTTTTAACCTTTAATGTTGGAAATGGAAATTTTGTTATTTTCTGAAAGTTTGTCTCAAATTTTTCTTGATTCCTGCAGTTGGGAGTGCTTGAAGAAATGTTGAACTTTGGTGGCTGCAGAAACAATACCGAACTCTTTCCAGAAATTGTAACACAGAGATGCATTCAATGACTTGTGTTTAGGCACTCAACTTGAATGTCAAACCTACCAAACGTCAGTTCGGAAAAAGTATTGAAATGAAATACCAATGTGCGATACTGACTACTTCATTCTTTTTGTCTTCCTCATTAGGAAATGGTCGCCGAGTACCGCGCCCGGCTCAAGGACATCAACGCCCGGCCGATCAAGAAGATCGCCGAAGCTAAGGCACGCAAGCGACAACGATCCCTGAAGAAGATGGAGAAGCTTCGCAAGAAAGCTGAAGCCATCAACGATACAGTTGACATCTCGGAAAAGGAGAAGCTAAACCAAATTAAACAGTAAGTGCTGACTGACAAATTTTTTTATAAACAGGTTACTGTAATGAGCATCTCAAACCTTGGGGGAGTATTTGGTCTCAAGAGAGATTAGAGTATATTTCTGATGAACTTTGTGTTTATCTTTGTTACCTGGCAACAGTGTCCCACGGAAGGCACAGCACATCACCAGAGTCGCTTTTGTGTTTTACAGACCTTTAAGAAAATCTTGCACAAAAAAAACTTGCACATTGGAGATCAGTAGTAACCCTCAACATTTTCATCACGATGCTAGACTGCATGATGCATCCAATCAGGGAGCACTTACTAAATTACTGAAGTACAAAGTGTTGCCTTTTGGGGGCCATTACATTTAGGGGTCGGTGATTTTTACCACTGTCTTGTTTTGTTTATCTGGTCTTTGACACAGAGTGCACTTGTCCAGAGGCAATTCGGCATCAAGCAGTTTTGGGTTTGTGGTACAATGCCATTGTATGCTTGTAATGGCATTACATTGATTTGTCTGCAATCTGCAATTCCAAAAAGATGGCATGTTAGACAGATCTCATGAACCATGGCTCATGGGTCACTGGTTTGGATCCCAACACTGTCCAATCTTTACTCACCTAAGTTTGATAATTCTTTATTTCTGGGCTTGCCGGCGCGTTCTGACCCCCTCAAATTGCCCCTTTCCTGTCTTTGGCAGGCTGTACAAAAAGGTCAACAAGAAGAAGCCCAAGGAGGTGACCTACGTCGTGGCTAAGAAGGCCCACGCCGCCAAGCGGGTCAAGCGCCCTCGCGGGGTGAAGGGGCCCTACAAGGTGGTGGACAAGCGCATGAAGAAGGACGTGCGAGCCATGAAGCGGGTGGAGGAGCGACGGAAAAAGGGCAAGAGGAGATGAGGTCGCAAAAGAGGCTTGACAAAAAGCTTGACAGACTGCAACAAGCCTCGTCCGGATGGGCTGTGCACGTATTCCTTCGCTAGCCACTGAATACTGAATACAAAAACAGTGCTGGCTGGCCATTCAGAACGAATACACATAGATTTAAATTGTACTGCGCGCATAAATGGTACTTCAGACGTGGTGCACACTACCTGTGGTGGTGTGAACTCGTTACTGCGCTGTCAGATACACCTTTCTTAAGATTAAAGTGCCTGTAACATCTGAGGTTTTGTTTTTGGCCAGAAAACTTGGACGTTGTGTTATAAAAAGGACGACTGAGGAATGCTCATCATCAATTGGGCAGAAGGATCAATTGATTCTACAAACAAAACTTCACAATGGAAACAACTGCTTGGCTCATTAAACCCACTGACTACGATCCATTTCAAATGTCTAAAATAGGTGGATATTTGAATTGCATAAAAAACAGGATAAGATCTTGTAAGGCATGGTGGGAACCAGCAAGCCATACCTATAGGAACAGAGTTGGTAATATCCAATTTTACAGCCTGTCACACAATATGGTATCATAAAGCTCCTTGGCCCTTTTGAAGGCAAAAGGTCATTCACTTCCAGGTTCACTATAGATCCTAAACCACCGAGGTGCTCTGAATTCCCCAAATCCATCAGAACGTTCTGCAGAGACTCTAAGTGTGAACGTTGTGAGGACCAAAGTGCTAAAACCCGACGTGACCACAGAATGTTTAACTCGAGGTACATGTATAGTGACAATGACATGCCTGCAGCATGAGGTAATCTTTACTTTTTATTTCTTCGCAGCGTCGAGAATGTTTGGTTTTGTGGCACGGATTTGTAGTACATTCTGTCAATACATTCTGGTTGGTCTTTAAGTAAAAACCAAAAAATCAATTATCCCGTTATTGTTACAAAAATAAATCACTGTACTGTATATTGTGTACAGAATTTGTTGTGGACGGCCATTGACTGTCCCCAGTAATAAAAAAGACTGAAGATTGGCCTATTGAAAATGTATCCAGAAAGTTATGTTCATGTGGTGTTTTTCATTTTATTTTCAATTGTATTTGCATTTCTAGATATTTGAAATGTGGTGGGCCTCCTTGTGGGGTACAGTCTTCTTTTAAAAAAGTTATTTGCAGAAAAAAAATGGATAAGGTAAACCTTGAAATTGAAGTAAATTTGGACTTTTGGGAGAGCTGATGAACTTAGTTACTGTTCATAATCATAATTGAAACTTTATCTTTACTTCCAAAAGAGGAATCTTGGAACTGTTGACATTTCTGATGTCATTACACATTTGTGGTTGTATTCATGGCATGAATACCAGTGATGATGTTGCAAAATTTGGGTTCATCGCTTTTGTGTCAAGACTGACCTTATCTTGAATAGAAGTGTACAATGTATGAAGCAGCTATCTTTCGGGTAAGTGCTTTTGTTCATGTGCCACTGACCGGAAAGATTACCACCATGCACGACCTCTATTGATGTATCAGTTGCTGACACAGCAAGGCAGTGTGTTCTGTGGGCCTTGAGTCACACCAAGCAATAGACCTATGGCATAATGGACATCACACTTTGTGTTGAAATATGGTGCCATGTGGAGACCCAAGACAATAGGTTGAAAAGTTCTCCGCAGGGAAGTTCTTAAGGTGTGTTGGTCTCCACAAGGATTTCACAAACGGATTTTGGAAATTTTTGGAAAGGAGGGATTTTTAATGTTTTTATTATCCATGGCAAGTTGAAGTATTTTATATATGGGACGGTTGAAATTTCAACCCAAGAATTTAACTCTTGATTCAAATGGGAGCATTTTGAAAACTGCATTTCACACCCGAGTAGCTTAATATATGAAAAACAAAGCACTGTGTCCACAAGGATACAGATGTTAGTGTGTGTGGTGTAAATGTTGCCCTCCACACAAGAAGTCCATATAGTGCAGGGTTTTAACTTCAAAGGCGTGGACTTGCACACGTCCACACAGTGTTTCCCCACTCTGAAACACTAGCTACTGAAGCATTTTGGAGGTCAGGGTTATGCCGGGCCAAAATAAACGGAGCAGTTCAGGAAGTTGTCATAGAAATTCTAGATCAAAGGCCAAAGCAGAGAGAAAAATGAAATGGCCTTAGTTTTCTTTACCACAGGATAGCATAGGAATGTCAACACTACAAATGTAAAAAGGAACGTGATGGTGTGCTGTTACATACCTAGTGTGGACTTTGTGAACAAAAGATGTCAACATAATGCAGGAAGGGAAGACGTTCTGTGGACATCACCATGTCCACAGGACATTTCCTCTTCTCTGAAAAAAAGTTTGTGAGGCATTTGAGGGTTAGGGTTATCTGTCACAAAAGGAAGAGGAACAGTCAAGGAGATATTTTTACCCAAATCTGGCTTAAAATCCTGTTCTCAGTTCCAAATAATTGATTTTGTTCCAGTTATCTTAATTGCACAAAAACAAAGGAATGTTCACATTAGGTAAGTCACATAAGTATGAGTGTCCGCATAAACCAATGGGATGCGGTTAATGGATGTATGTTCACTGTCGGAAGGTCAGGGAATGATTGAAACAAGATACAGCCAAAAAATGCTGTGAAACTTTCATGTCCATAGAAAAAACTTTATTAAAATTTGTTTTGCTAAGATACAATCAGATTTTACAAATTCTTTTCAACGCAATTTAACTGACGAACGATATACATGTATAAACAACACACACCCTTACAATGTTTTTCTTCTGCCAGAGTTCCTGTTACCAGGAGTTCCCAAGAGAGGGTCAAGAGTCACAACTGTGTTTGTAACCAAAGAAAATAAAAAAATTCACCAAAGTTCCCACAGCTAGTTGCAGAATGGGAATCGGTGGGCACAAGTTAAATTTGGTAAATCTTTGAGTATTATTACAAGCTTAAGGGGTACATCATAAAAAGACCTGGGCATGTTCCTTATAATACATGAGCATGAAAATCCAATGCTGGCAAAAAATACACTCTAGACAATTTTCATAGGACTGTGTCATACTGTCATTGTTTCAACTTCAATGTCCTGACTATTTGTAAGGTCAAACAATCCTTTTCACTGTACGTTAGAATTCAGAAAATCAAGTCTTACAGGAGGCTCCAATAGGTTAGATACTTGTACACACACACACTAGGCAAAATCAGTCACAATGGCAGTATTTGGTGAACGGAAATCACAGATACATGTACGTGAAATAAAATCATCAAATGCATAATATTCATGGATTCAATACTGTGGTGGCAGTGATAATGTGGAACTTCAATTTTGTTACCAAAATATGTTGAAATGAAAGACAACTAGTGTGTCGCGTCATGTAAAATATTTTAAAAAGCTTTGTTAAAAGCTTTGTTTTTCTTTGTTGCTTCAAGTAAAATTTGATATCCCATAAGCGAAATGATAAAAATCAGAAAGTTATTGGTACATGTACCTGTATGTTTGACTATTATACTTAGGATGGTTATTTGTATATACATGTACTGTATTTATCAAGACACAAGCCTTCAACAGAAAATAAAGCATACATGTACACTGACGTTTCACAAGTTAATGTTGAAAATACTGAATTACTACATTGCCTTTTGGGCCCAAGTAAACAGCACTGCTTAATGTCAAATTTTGTTAAAGAATCTCTCTCTATTTCACAGTAAAGGAGACGACTTTTCTGTTGTTAACCACTTGTGGATGCAATTAATTGGCAGAAATTTACAACTTTTGAAAAAAGATAAGATTCAGCGGCGAACTTTTGATGGACAGCCACAATTGCTGGAGTCACAGGAGAAGTATTTGTACAATATTTCTTCTGCCATGACAGGCCATGTGCACTGTCGCATTCAACTTCTCGGTCTCCACAGACTTGTCAGAATCTGTACGTATACATGTACGAAATCAATGGGAGATAAGCATGTTGTAGACGTAAGCTGGAGGGGAGTCAAGGCAAGCTCGACGTTTTTATATACTGATAGCCCAATCATGGTTTAACGTCCTCCGGCGTGAAGTGGTTGTGTCACACTGTGAAACTGGGCCCAAGGCACATGGCATATTCACACTTACCCATGTGGATATCATCAAACAAGCCCCTCCCCCAACTGGTGCGGAGAGAGGCTCAGGCTGGGCCAACATTTGAACAGCATCTCCATATGGTGTGGTGTCAGTGTGCCCCTGGGAGGACTGATGGGTTTGTGCACATTCAAATGAAAATTAGTGAGGCCAGGCAAGTGTCCCCCCACACACTGGCACCATCTCTTGTTTCTACTTGAATCTCATTCTGAAAAATAATTATCAAACACTGCACACGAAATTGTAAGTTCCATACATTCCAAAATACAAAATCTGAAATAAAATTTGCAATCTCGTTAGTAAAATACACTTCTCAAAAGCATACAAAATATATTGCAAATTGACACTTGCACCGTTTATTTAAAGTTGTTAGAATATTTTGTGAGATATACACTCTGAAAATCTCTTATTCTTTACATTAACAAAAGTTATCTGGTTCTTTATCTGATCTGTCTGGAACTCGGTATCCTAAGAATGAGTTGTCTTGAAACAAAGTGAGCAATTCTTGTCATGATTTATACAATATCTTGTTTTACAACATCTGATTTTGCGCATAAAACTGCCAGTGCATGATTGTCTAAAAGTCTCGCAAAAATTTTGAAAATGTTTATAATAACAATGGTACATGTACATTTGTAAGAACTCTGGAAAATAAAAAGTGAAATTGGTATAATCAGTATTTTAAAATTACTCACAATGAAAAAGTCATGTTACATAAAACTATTAATGCTCACTGCCTTTATAAATACATGTATTCACAAATATTAACCCTAACTCCCTAGGGTGTGTGCAAAATCATATTAAAATTGGGGGATTCAGGGCTGTTAGGGTTAAACTTGATAAATAAATCTTTCAACTAGGTTTGATTCCAAATTGATTTCTTGGAACTAGTTTGTTGACATCAGTGAAAATAATTATTCATTTCTTTAGTCAAAGAAAATTATGAATGTTCAAAGCTGAAATTTGCTAAGTTTGACAGACTTCTGAAAGTTATGAAATCAAAACTTCGTAATTAATTTGTGAAATATAAGAACATGAAGTTAAAAATTCTGGAAATGTCAACAGAACAAGACCTACAGTAAGTGAAAAATCTTCTCTAACCATAGCAGAGAATTCTGTGTCCATGGTTTATGGTATGAGGAAATACGGGTTGTGTATTGGATTCTGAGCTTATCCATTCAGTAAGCACAGAATTCTGTGGTAAGCGAACTATAAAATTGAGCCTGGATTAAAAGACAATGGAGTTTAGTTTGTACAAGACTTTTTGCGCTGAAACATGGGGCCTTTTGGGGTACCGGAACAATGGGAAGTACCCCACAAAGCCAGTTTTTACCTTGTGTACCCCACAAGAATTTCACGAAACTGATATTTGGAAATCACTCAAAAAGGGGAAATTTTTTATGGCTAAAAATCTGTCACAAATTGAAGTGTTTTATATAAGGGACATACGGTCGAAATTTCAACCCAGGAAAGTGAATTTGTTTTAAATTGGAGTGATTTGAAATTGTTTGCGTGTTGTGTGGGAGTTTTGTACACGAGAACTAAGGAAATACCCCACAAGTATAACTGTGTAAGGATGGGTGCCCTGAGGTGTGGGTCTGAGTTGAAGGTCAGTGGCACAACTACTTGACTTCAGTGACCCATTAACATCTGGCCTCGTGGTTGCCATGGTGCAGGGTATCGTAATGTGGTGGATCGCTGGTGTCTGGTTGGACGTCCTCGGTGTTTGAGTCCTGGGTCTTTGGGTGGGCGTGCTTCTTGTGACCCAAGAAAGGAAGATGGTGGTGATGGTGATGGTGATGTTTTCCATCACCGTTCTCCGAGGTATTATGGTATTTCTGATCATAGTGGGGCTTCTCCGGCCTCTTCTTGATGCACTCCTCATCTGCAACAGGAATGTCAGAGGCACACAGCTTTTTCAGTCAATTGAGGCACTAAAACGTGATCATGGCCAGCAGGCTGTACCTATGGGCTCTCTGGACAAGTATCCCCTCTATATCTGTTGCCCACATGAAGGTGATATATGCCTTTGTGCACATTCAGACGAAATGGCATATCTTACAACGGGCACACAAAATTGTCACCGGGTTGTTGGGACAACACACGTGTTGAAATATGGACATTATGGGAACCATTTGAATGCGTCACGGGAACACCTTTTTTATTCCCAAAACTTAGCCCTGACTGTTGAAACAAAAGGACTTGTTCCCTTAATGCAGAGAAGGCCCAGCCACACACACAGGCTCAGAATCCATGAACAAGGAAAAGTACGTTCCCAACAGAAACAAAGCACGACATCATAGACATTTGAAATGGTGTTGCTACAGAGCATCTATGCTTCCGTAAATAATTAACAAGTTTGTGTGCATTCGGATGAAAATTACAGAGCAAATTCACAAAATAGTGCAAATGACAGCATGGAAGTGCCATTTCCTACACACTGTCTCGCCCAGCCTAATTTGTCCTCTTTTTGTTGTATTCAACTCTCAAACTCCACGGCAGTTTCTTTGTCCGAGATTATCCTTTGTGGGGTCTTTGTTTCTTTTGTTCCTAATGTATTCTCTGATCTGTTTCCTTATATGGAAGCCTGTACAATAACACATATACTTCTGTGGTTGTAGAACTACACACAACTTGAATGGCAGTTCTTGTGGGCAAAAGAAACTTTATTGGGAAACACCCCGCTGTCCCCAACAATCCAGTCCAGAAGTCCCTGATAAGAGAAATCGTCCCCTCATTGCGGTGCTGGTTAGGGCAAGTTCATTTATTTGTCCTTTTGCCCTGGGGACCGCTCACAGGTTGTACATATAGAATAGTTATTTCCTGGTACGGGTGCCGGTACCAACAACTGTTTTAGCCATAAGAACACTCCAAAGTCCAATCTGTCATCAGTCAAAACCCTCCCTCACAAGTTCTGCTGTACTAGCCAGGGCACGGTGGGTACCTCAGTACATGTACGTGTAGCACTTGTTTTCGCCAAACTCTTTTCCTCTGCCATTTTCAGTGTGTCAGATAGAGATTTAAATGCTACTTTGCTTGAACAAAGATTTACATCAAGCAGAATATGTGATATTCATGTCAATATTACCGTGGACCAAAAAAGAAATTATTACTCAAATACTGGCACAACAAGGCGAGCTTGTTGATGAACTTTATTATGGTACATGTTCGTATTACATATTGCGGAATTCCCCAAGGTGACTGCATCATGAGGGGATTTCCTGAGACCATGGCAAAGGAAATCATTGGTCAACTTCCAATACCCAAGAGAAATGCCATTTCACTGAAAACAAACTGTACAGTTTGACTTCACATCTGGCACGCATACTGTTATTTACTGTTTGTCTTGTCACGGATGAATGCTATCCAAGAAAATCGAAAAAAAAAGTCACATCCTTAATTGGACTGGATTCCAGTCCGCGGCCCTCCACTTCCTGGTTCATATGCATGACAAATTCAGTGTTGGTCACAGGTTCATGTCCCACTTGCATAAGAACTGAAATTCAGTTTGGAATCCTGCAGTCCAATAGCAAAGAATGTTCACAGCTTGTAAAGGAAGTTCATGTCGATCCTGAAACACAGACTAAGTCTGACAGATCTCAAAACCTTGGGGTCATTTTGCGTGCATGGTAAATCCTTGTTCTGGTGTATTTTTTACATTAAAAAAAAAACAAACAAACAACCCAATGAACACAAACAAACAAGGGTATCCAATGGATTATCAATGTGCTGAAATGTGCCCATAACATACCGTATGGTGGATCTATGACACTGAATAAACATGATATCAATCTGCATGTGATAAAATATGTACAGTCTCACCTATTTTGATTCCATTTGTGTTGAGTAGCTCTCTGAGTTTCTGGATCTCTTCCTCGAGGGCGACACCATACTCTTCAAACTTCATTGCCGCCTGGACGGCTCGCTCCCTGACCCTCTTGTGGTGGTGAATACGCTTCTCGGCTCTCTGTTCCACCGAGAGAATGACCCCTAGCAAAGAAAGACGGGACAGACAAAAGTTCATGCTCACTTATCCTGAAAATGCCAATAATGCCTTTTATTCTGATAATTAGATGTAAATAACCAATTGTCACTTTTGACATTCCATATACTGTTGAAAATGTATCATTATCATCTCTGGCCACTTCCTTTTTTCATGTTTCTTTCACAAATGTGCCGTCATTGTTGGTAATTCCGTTGCTTTTTTCTTATTCTTTCTTATTTGAGTAGTTGACTCCATCCCTTGTAGTTATTATCATAGACATAGTTAATATAAAACAGGATTATTGATGCACACATGGATAATTTATTCTGTTTCTGATTTTATTTACATAATGGCCTATTATTTAGATAATTAGAAACAGGTTCCAGATCTCTTACAAGCATTTGCTTTTTATCTGGAATCCTCAATCATTTCTGTTATTTTGATATTAAATTCATGTGAAAATTTTATTTAAGATATGAAAAGAAAATACACTACATGTAAATAAACTACACAGTAAGACCAAGAAGTTTCCAACGAGGCAAAAATATTGAAAACAAATTAAAATTGAAAACAAAAATCTATAGGGTTTTATCCGACAGTTTCTGACGAAAGGCCTTTAGTTCTAGTAGCTGGATTCTGTTGGGATCATCAGTAGGATGCCTAGAGAAAACCCAAGGGCAGTTAGGGTTAGGGAGAGCCCCCAAAGCTATGAGAAAGTCCGGCGGAGGGGAATGCTCTTTTTACTTGAGAGAGATGCAGATCTCATGCATGACATGTAGATCTCATCTAGTGAATGCATCTGTGAAATCTGCTCAGGAACTGCAGGGGTTGCGTAAGAATATACCACATTCAAATACAAGAAAAGTACAAGTGGACACAATCGCAAAAATGCATGGAGAACTAATTTTTAACTGAGCGTGTATAAACCTAGCCTGCAATACTCCCATGTCAGTGAACACAAAGCACACATGTACACATTTGATGCAAATTTCACCTTATCTGTGCGCAAATCAGACAAAATGTGAGTTCACATGGTGCACATGACAAACATGATTTTTCAACTGAATGGGCAGAAACCTTCAGTATTGCCCTGCTAAACGAGCAAACAAAGTGAGAGTGCACCTACATGAACACTGAAAATGCATATAAATTTTCAGCTGTGGTATTGACATGCTAGAGAATCAAGCGAAATGTCCACACGGTCAATTTCTCAGCTGAATGTGTACAAACCTGCAGTTCTGCTATATATAGGACACACAACAGCTTCTGGGGTGCACACAGTGCGTTCTACTAATTTTAAGCTAGGTGTGTACAAAGCTATGAAAGTGATAAACTAGTGGAACACACAAAATGCAGGTATAAATAAAGCACAGAACCCAATTTTCAGCTGAATGTGTACAAAACCTGTAGCATTTCTAATAGGAGTACATGTCACAAAGCATTATTGCATGAAGTACACAAAACAAATTCAACTAAATGGGCACAAACCTATTGGGGCTAAATGCATACATACATGTACCCGTATTATCTCTGCAATTGGGAACACACAAAGCATGTGTGCAGAAAGTGCGCACTACCTCTTTCACACATGGGCACAAACCTGCACACAACTAATTTTCAACAGAATGGGCACAAACCTGTATTGTCTCTGCCTCAGAGGAGAACAAAGTGAATGGATGATGCATATCTCTGATGTGTCTCCTAAGTAAAAGTATTAACTGTCTTATCGTACACATCAAAGGGACCCAATTAGATATTGGCATTGTGACATTCCATATTAGACATTACAATGCATTTTCTCTCGGCAGTTTGTCAATCTAAAATATAAAATTGCAGCCTTCAAATAAACCTATATGTAGGGTCTATTGATGTGTTATTATTAATCAGTTTTTCAATATCACTTTAAAATTGATATCACCAATATCATCAAATTTTAAATCACATCAAAGTATTGAAAATGTGACCATTGGCAATGATACATCAACAAAATTCAAAGCAAGTCAGGTCTTTGACTAGACCTCTGTCCAGTTTGAGTTTACATGGTTGTTACATTATTTTAGTAATGAAATTACAAGCGCTATGCAGTAGAAAATTGTTCTAAGACAAGAAGTCAAACTTTTGCTACATTAGTATGATCCGTGTTCTCTCTGGGATTTGCGTCCCCCCTGCACAATGGAGATGGACATATTTTTCTTTCATTTGTCGGTTTTCATAGTGTTATTTTTCAGTTGAACTTATCATTTTCTGAATTTTTATATCAGTCTTGCCTTTGGTTTGTTCATCACTGATGGACTTCCACCAATCAACAAGTCAAACCATGTGTAGCAAATCTTTCTGACTTGTCATTTTGCATCATGTGCATGAGCACATGCTGATCCACACAAACTGCGTTTGGGACAATGATAGCAGTCAGGCTACTTTGAAAGCCAGATTGCTGGTGCCATCACATGGCCACTACAGAGAGCCAGGGATTGGACTGCCCGAGTGGAGGCTACAGTTGGGTGAACAGCAGCAAAAAAGAGACTTGTCCAACTGCAGTGGTAGCATGCAGAACTGCACGCTATATCTCAGCAAGACAGGACAAAGTGAGTGAGGGAGTAATGACTCAGTAAAAACAATCTGCAATCTGTTTACAGTAGACAGTGACTGTTTGGCAACAACTGTTTCATATTTATGTACAACTGTACATAATACTCTATTCCCTGGACAAGAATACAGTGTGACTTCAGGGATAACACAGTTGAAAGTGATTACTAGTTCATGAAAAATACTAAACACATAACTTGATACTGGATTTTGGATATATTGATTATCACCAAAAAATCTGGTACTGAAAGACCCAAAATCCAGTGAGAATTTTGCAGGTGCAGTTTCCCAGCCCAATTCCTTCAGCAGAATAACTGAATGACAATCCATCTGTGGAAAAACTATTCACCACAAGGCCAACACGAGACCTCCAGTCGGAACTCAAGTCAAATCAACGACAACAAAGGCATTCCTTTTCTCATTATTCACCCCGTATTACCTATAGTCTCCGCTTTGAACTCACCGTTAACAATCCGCATTATACGCCACAATCGGAGGACAACGACGAGATCTATGATGGCAAAGCTGTCTGGAAGGACCAGCGTGACAATGTCCAGTATGAAAGACACGACGATAACGAAGGCATCAAAGATCTTCAAAACAGACAGAGGAAAAAAATTAGCCTAGATGTTGCAACTGCCTACTCATTTTTATCCGTTGGACAAAGTTCATTTTCTTTCAATCCTGATGTGTTAACTTTCTCCCATCTCTGACATGACATACTACAGTACTGTATTTCAAAATCTGGTGGTGCTTGGAAGTAATCGATACATGGCTGCATGTATTCATGTTTGGAAATCAAATATTTACTTGGCCATTGGCAACAGGTGTTCACTTAACTGGACCACATTGTGGCATTGTGAGCATTACCAAATCTTTGCAATGGAAGGCTAAATACCAACAAAGTAGAGAGAATGCCATCCTCTTTCAGCATGTACCAGTGCCAATAACTTGTGCATGTATGTGACTCAACCAAAGGAACTAAGTCATGACCATCGAGCTATATTAACTTCCTACTTTGATAACTTATCATTTCCAATGCACAGAAGTTTCGGCACCTCCTGTCGGGCACAGACATTTTGAATCCATGCACATTTTGTAGAACATAAGAAAACAAGATTGAGTTTCAAATCTTGCACTCTAACTACGATCCACAAACACCACATTCGCAAATAAAACATAGCCTATTTTCTGTCACTTAACTTTATAGTATCTGCAGCGTATACACATATTTGCACAAGCTACACTGAGCAAAACTAAACACTCGCTCATCGATTGTGCATTCAGATTTTTAGCATATTGGTCGCATTGATGCATCATTTTAGACTACAGATGTACACCGTAGACGTGCAAATAGCCATACAAAAGCAGAACAAAACTTTGAGTTTTCCCATAGGTTTGTGCATGTGCCCAATACGTTTCACTTTGCACAGCAAGCTACTGGTAGCAGTCCAGTATTAAATGAAATAAGGCTCAATGAACTTAAGTCACTGAGGTCACTTTTCTCAATTTTGAATGAGTTCGTGCCTCTCTACTAGTCTTACATGAGTTGAGGCAACTGGAACCTTCAACATGATCTCCTTTGGAGTGTCTCTTTTTACATTAAATTGAGTGATACAAGTACACAAATGTACATTAACAACAACGAGTTCAGTTTTGTATTTCTAATACAAACAAATCAAAACTACTAAAAAAATGCCCCAGGACTCATTTGGCAGGACCTGGTTACTTATTTGACATCATGTCTGATTTCCAAGAACATGCCATAAATTATTGCAGTTCCTTAATCAATGAATGAGTTCCCAGAAACAAAAGAGATAGTGATACCAACAATAAACAGGGCAGAAATACACTACTCAAAATAAAGTTAAGGACCACTTTTTCTTAACTTGTAATTTTTTTCCAAGCAATGAGTGGGGTCTAGTTCTTTCATTATTTGTTTGTCTAGATGGTGTTCTCATTGGAACAAAAAATTTTAAAAAGTTTCAAAACATCAAACGCACATTTTCAGCAGTAAAATATCTCATATAAAAAAAGTGTACACAAAATAAATTGAGTAGTGGAATAACAAAATGTGCATTAGCCCTAACCCCCCAAGGGTTGCTGGCCTTAATCTTCCCCATTCACACGAAGTTAAACACCCATATGGGACTTTGTGCACAGAGGCTGTTGGACTTTTCTGAGGTATGCCAAACCCAATGCAAAAGCCAGCTATTATGGGCCCACCAGACCTATCCCCACAGAATTAAACACTTTACTGCTATTTAATTCTGTGTGGTTGGGGAGGGTTAGGGTTAGAGGAAAAACGATCTACAAATATGCCAACAACCTTCATTAAACAGGTAGGTATCAAGGTGGATGTGATCAAAACAGGGTGAGGGAACTTTTGAATAGAACACGAACAAGGAAGCAAGAAGTTCCTAAAAAAACAAACAAGCTGTGAACTCCCGAAACTCGACTGTTGACAAATTCCACAAGTCATCCAAATAAAAAAAAGCAGGCAGTATTGGAGAAATGTCCACAAGATCTAAAAGAAACAGAAACACGGAAACCAGATAGTTTCCTCGAAAGTACATGTACAGCACAGTAGTCGAGACTTGTCGGTATTGTGCGGTCTTGTGAAGGTCTTAGGTGGTCTCTACTACAACACTGATGTACACCACCACAATTTACATGTACATATGAACATGTATTTAAAGTTGGCAAACCCCTTCAAAGTGCAGAAGGCCAGATTTAACTGATTATGCCCATGAATGTTCCAATTTTTCAAGGAACTTGAAGATAAAATAACATGTATTTCCTGAAAAAAAAAAGAACACCATACTCTGGCGAGGTTGTTTTGAATGATCCAATGCGATTGGCATCTGAAATGCACCAAAATACTTTTCTTATCAGGATTTTGTTTGCAGTGCTGCCTTTGCACTTCTTCTTTTCATGCTGAGCAAACATTTAAAGAAAATGCGGGCAGAAAATAGAATGGCTCACTTGTGCTTTATTTCACCACTAACACTACACGTACGAACATCTAATCACAAAAGAAACACAGTGCACTAACGACGGGTGTCCATTCTTATTGCACCTTGCTTCGTTTGTTAGATGTTTATAGTGTAACGCCTTTACTGACAAACAGAATGGGCACTCTAGACCGATCTCCTTCCAAAAAGGAACAATACTTCACCTATCCACGATTTGACTTGTAAAGGTCAATGCTAGGATGCTTTAACACAAACTATTGAAAGCTATTTTAGACTTAATGTATGTTTCAACCTTAGCAGGGGTTTTGTTCCAAAAAGGAACAATACTTCACCTTTCCACGATTTGACTTTCCAAACGTCAATGCTACGATGCCTTAACACAAACTGTTGAAAGCTATTTTAGACTTAATGTACCGGTATGTTTCAACCTTAGCGGGGGCTTTGAAGTTTTTTTGGTTCCAATTTTGAGTCCCGCCCTATGAGGTGTGAGAATTATTTACACAGTGAGAATTCAACAATGATAATCATACAAACCTTTAACACGAATAAGCTGTGGTAGTTTTGGGGTAAAATTCAAAATGAAACCAGTTGTATTTATCAGAATAAAATGATATTAAAAATCAGAGAGTACATTATTGCTCTACAGGTCTTGCTCGCAAGTTGCTAACAGCTGCTGGCTTCAACTTTTTTTCCTAAAACAAACAGGATCAGGGAAGGGGAAACATTTGGAAGACACAATAATATTTTTATTGGCGTAGCTCTTAAAAGAGTCTGCACTTTTTTTACATTTCGGGAGAAACTGAGGCCAACCAAAGTATACTGGTCAAAATGTAAAGTCACTCCAGTTCTTTTCAAAATTGCATCCCGTAATTAGTAATTACCAACTGCTGTGGTGTGAGATATGAGGTTCAGAGGACTTATGACACTAAAGGGTGATGTGTCTATGAGGGTGTTAAAAACATCATATCCCAAGTCATCCAGTCAATAACTGTTTTGTTACACCTCTGTTGTCAATTGTTTGTAACATACATGTATGTCCCCAAACTGAAATGTCCCGAAATAAGTTGAAACGATGAGTGTTTTGTGAGTTGCTACACGCATTACAGTTTATTACTACAAACTCTGCAAGTGATAATAGCACAGGCATCAATGAATATGAGTAGTCTGGTTAGCAGATCCTGCATTGTGGTTTGGACTGGGGGACAGGGACTAGTCCATGGCATCACAAGGTGATATGCACAAGGAACATGCACTTTTATTTATCATTCACATTCAGGAAATAAAAGAGGTGTAACAAAGGAGATTATTCCATGGTGACGCTGCAGATTTTTTCTTCCCTATCAACCACCGCACAGCACTGTTCAGAGTTGGACATACCTCTAGTTTGCTGTGGAAGAACTTGGAGCCCAGGGCGATGAGTTTCAGCATGAGCTCTATCATGAAGAGACTGAGGATGACGATGCTGAGGTAATGCAGCGCCTCTTTGGCTTGTTTGAGGGGACTATGCTCTCCGGAGTACTCTTCAGCTGCCCGCTTGTGTCGTGTCATTTCGCCTTGGTCGTACGTTACGTTCCCGTCCATTGGTGGGGCCTTGGTCGTGCACGAACTGCCCTGCAATAGTATCCATTCAGTCATACATGTCAACTGTTGGGTTATGGAATATTTAAGTGGCAGTGGTGTAACCAAGGAGGCCCTCAGAGGGCTTCAGCCTCCTCCCCCGAGGTGTTTTCTGGGCTTTTGTTTTGCTCTCTGAAAAAAAAGATGAAACATACATCTAGGCCTAGCGAACAAAGTCCCTATTTATGAGTTCTGATATTTTTTATAATTGTAAATCTCAGTCCCCTGGGGCGTGGGGAGAGGGGAGCTTGAGCATCATGAGCTACTTTAGGAGTAAGTTTCCAGCTTGAGCCCCCATCCCCCGACAAATTGTGGGTGCGCAAATACGTTACCAGAACTTCGATCAGTCAGCTGAAACATCTTCGTTGCAAAAGCAATGGGTAAACAATGCAGCACAGTGCATGAAGGCTTGCGATATAAATTCCGTTTAATTTGTTCCCCTAAGTATTTTTTTTTGCCATTCTTATTACACATGATACCTGGCTACCTTGGTAACTTGTTTTTAAACTTTATGTACAGAGACTTATCATGAACTGATGGATTCTTAAGATATTTTCGATACAGAAAGTTTTTTCTTCCTTTTTCCCCTACACATTGGTAATAATTTCCACAATTATCAAACTTAATGACGCGTCAGTTCTCATAAACTGGTGAAGCAAAATTTCATTATGTATGTATGATATTGATGTATTTGGGATTTCTTTTTTTTCTTTTTGTCGCCAACATGAAATAAATGTTTGCCAATATCATGCTCTATGAAAAGTCGACCATTCATAATTCAGCCATGAATCATGAATATGTATGACAGTGGGTAATTAAAAATGCATGAAACTCACCTCTCCCCCCTAATATAAAACAATGAACTCATTCTACTGAAAGAAAAAAGTTAAGGATAAACCCTTACCAATGCTGCATCCTCCAGGTCCAGCACCAATTCCCCGATGACGAAGACACAGTCCAAAACGACCAGGACAATGATGGTAATCTGCATCTTCTGGGTGTGAAGGAATTCCCGCAGTTTCTCCCGGCAGGTCTGCGGGCCTTTGCTGTTCTCGTGGTCGTCATGGTGATGGGGCTCATCGATGTCACCTTCTCGGTCCTCCACTACAATGTCTCTCTCATCTTCTGCCTTGGAGAACTTGAGGCCCATGTTGGCAGAACTTGCTCCAGCCTCTGTTCAAACCAAAGTTTACTTCAGCATTTGAATACGAGACTTTTCTCTTCCAATTTTCAACGTAATGCACAGAAACCTGAGGCAATTATTTAAGAGGAAAGTAACCAAACATGTGACATAAATGGTGCTAAACAATGATGAAGACCATCAATGTTAGAAATGTGTTGCATTCTTTCCACTATTAACCATTAATCTGATTTAGTCAAATCCTGTACTTGCCAAACTTTAAAAGTACAGTCTATCATTTGTGCATTACATGTACATGTATGTTCCTCTGAGGGAACAAATTTAGACAAAATCTACAGAGGGGTGCCTACGAACAAACCCAATGGAGTTTCAGCTCAGAGAATGCTGTATAATATTGCATATTCACGATTTTCTGGGATTTTGCTTTCAGATCAAGAGTTGCCAAGTCATAGTTGGAACTGCACCTGAATTCAGAGTCTGGGACATGTTCTCACATTCAGTAACATGCAGCTACATGTCACACATTGAACTGATAAATTGTAGTAACCATACGTGTGTGGTGTCAGTGCTTGCACATGCTTCCAATGGCAATTTCCACTGAAGCGTCATTAGATGCATCGTCAGAAATGGCCCTTTTTCATTGTTTTCTTCAAACAACAACTTGCCAGATAAAATAATTGCACAGGGAGTTGATCCCCATAACCATCTCTGAACAAGAATACTTCTATCAATAATCTTGGGGTTACTTTTTGGATAACTGCAAATGATATCCTGGGCCTACTTTATTTATGTTAAGACTTGAAGGTTTTCATGGTAAAAGAAACTAGATGTATCAACCGCAATCATTTTACTCAGTCAGTCATGTTAGTCTTTAAAACAAAATTGAACTTTAGGAGTTCACCATAAATTTTGAACTCAGGCCTGCCATCGTTTTCAGTTTGATTTTACTAATTTTACAACCAAAAATGTCAACTTACCACATCCGGCACAAATTTCACTTCCATAACTAGTCATGCTTGCCATGGAATCTGGCATTTCAGTTTTGTACTCCATTTTTAAGCACTGGACCTAATTAGTAAAATCTCAACCGGCAAACAAGACAGTGTGATCACTTCGTAGTCTCAAATTTTGAGAACTTAATCGCTATCAACATCTGTTGCTGATTAAACTGTACATGTACATCCCGTCACGGTCCGTGTGGCATTACATGCAGTGTGCCTAGTATTACATGCCAATTATTCCATGCTGGACGTACTAATGAAGCGTACAACTTTTAACATGCCGAGTAACCAAGTTTCTCTCGCACAACCACAACGTCCAAACCCGCAACAGGCCCAGTGCGAACAACTGAGGAATAATGAACAAGACGCTTCAGTGACGCCCCCATGCCACCGGCACCATAAAACCAATTACACAATCACGACTTAACGCTTCACTGCGTCATTCTCTTTCATCCCTGGGCTATTTCTCTCTAGCCGGAAATCCAAACACCTACACAGCGACAACCCTGGCTGAAACTATACGAACAAACTACTTTAGTTTATACTTCCTGGTGTAGCATAGTACCTGTTGGTTGAGGATTTCGAGACTTTCAACAGGCCCCGGTTTCCCGGAGTTGGACTTGACTTCCCTTACAAATCCTACAAAATACTGTTACATTGTTTTGCACCTATGGTACTGTTTTGTATACGAAGTACATGCACATGTACAATGTACATGTACATATGTACGTCGACCACAGACCGACAGTGCAGTACATTTTGTGTACTGTAGGTGTGTGGGTAGACGTACTGTACATGTACAGGTACGGAGGACGAGGGGGAGGAACCTGCTGAATATTAGTCTTGATGACGGACGTCACTAAAGGTTCCGCCATAATGACCGTGTGATTTCACTGACTTATTGCAATTTGAAATACGATAAGGGAACAGATTTACTTCATATTACGTACTACATATTTCAGCCTTTGATAATCATAGCACGGTGTTTCAAAATATAATGGATGATGCTTTTGAGCGTCGGATGTCACTTATTCTCGCATTTAACGACTAGAATTCAGACCAACCAGTTTCTTATGTGGCGTTAAATTCCTTCCATTCGGGGGGGGGGGAAGGGCTATTGAATCATACCCCACCACTTTTTGTGGTGAACCAAAAATTAAAGTGGATGATGAAGAATTTCTCAGACATCCAACAACCAAAATGCATTCAGTGTCACTTTAAAAAAGGGAGAACAATTTAAAAAGCCATAAATTTGTCTTCTGAAGACATTTAATATCATAAACATCGACCTATATATACAGTCATATTGTGTCACCCCACTCCCGTTGTTTACATTTTTGTCATCCCTGCCTTGCCCTACCCCCCTTTTACAGCAAATATTAACGCCACAGGTTGTGGGCCGGGATGGAACCCATAGCTCAATACCCCCCCCAAAAAAGTGGGGGATATATATCCCCATCCCCTGGGATTTACGACCATACTCACAACTGATATTATATCCTTGTCTAGTAAATAACGTTGGTGTTTTAGTGGTATTCCTTTAAGAGCATCTTTTTCACTTCGCGATGGTGCGGATGCGCGTTTTCTGTAAGAATTGGCAAATTTTATTGTAAATTCAGCTGTAATTTTAAGGCTGCATCTGAATCACTGGGTTGTGGCTTGAAATTGCACAAAACTCTATGGAAACTGGTCCCAGCCACGAATATAGACTTGTGCATAATTTTAGGCCACAGCCAGGTAATTCGGACACAGCGTTAGAAAAGAAGCTAGACCATGAAGTGTATAACTCATAAAATGCCGATTTTAACCCCCCCCCCGGGCGGCTTACACAGTGGTTCCACTCCCCCCCCCGGCACTAATGGCAGAACCATTCCATTCTGACTTTCAGACCAGTGCAGCTGGTCTGAAAGTCAAAAAGAAAATGTACAAGTGCATGATGGGGCGAAAAGTAGTGTATCAACTACTGTAATAACTCCGATATATTAAGTGCATTATTCATTTCATGAGAAATTATTAAAAGTAAAAATAACGGTTCTGAGGGTACCAACCCTCAACGTGTAGTTTACGCAATATCAACACCACATTCCCGTTTGCGATTCTTTTAACGTACCACATTTTCACTATGGGTGCAAATAAAACCGTCTGATTGGGCCAAGTTTTCATACAGTCATGCATGATTCATCAGAGAGTTTTGACGAGAAGCTAGCCGTCACCGCTGTACTCTATACTACGAAAGCCCATTAGTGCCATGGCAAGTATGTGTTAGTAATTCGTTATTACGGATTATTAATCCGTTACTACGGATAGTTAAATTTATTATTACTTATTATTACGGATTATTAACTCCTTATTACGGATTACTTATCTGATCTGGTGTACTTCCTGTGAATGTTATCAATGTGACATTTACTCAATTGACAGGTTTGGAAAAAAGACAAATCAGTCAAATGTGGAAACGTATTTCAGATGCCCTCGACATACGAACGTTTTGTTGATTTGCGAGGTGAATTTAGCGAAATCTTACAAAGTGGGGTATGCGTGATGGACGGTTAAACAGATTGTCAAAGTATATCAAAGGAAAAGAATGGACACTACTTGCTGCGGCTTTTGTGTTCTGAAATTTTTAATCGAGTGGTTCAATGTTGCAAAAAAAAATTGATCGATATTGCTAATATAGAGTTGCTTTTGATAAAAGCAATACTCTGTTCGCCACTGTTTATCAAGTTTTTACATGCCTTTAATCATTAGCTTGGTCCTTTGGTTTTAACACCAAAAGGTATCAAAAACTGGATTTTATCATACCATTGAAAGATACATGTATTTTTTTCTTTTGTTAAATCCAAAAATCATTGATGATCTGAGTTGTACAAGTGTCATGCAAGGCGCGGTTTTACTGTAAATGGTTTCTCAAAATAAAATGTTTCAAGGATTCCAAATCAGAGAAAACAAAGATTAAAGTTAATTTTGAGAACTTAAATTTCTTTACAAACCTATGTTATAAAATTGGCAAAAATATAGACATTGTCCAGTTCATCCGTACATCTTCATTTTTACTGTTTTCCTTAAAAACAGCAGCAAGTTTTCTGCAATTTACCTGTTTTTATACATGTAAATGCAAGTGCCTTGTTTAATTTAGCTAATTCAAAGTATGCAGAGATCACCTAATGTCTTTGCTGCAACTATTAATTCACTGAGAAGGTTATCTTATTCGTATACTCTATACTCATCGTAAAATTGCGGAAAGCAGCTAATCATAATGATATTTGAGGGAAAGAGGGAAGTATGTAGGCATTCCACTCTTTTACAACAGTGTCCAGTTCTCCCTAAAGTTTGTGAAATTTATGTTNCATGTATAGCAGATGCCCTCGACATACGAACGTTTTGTTGATTTGCGAGGTGAATATAGCGAAATCTTACAAAGTGGGGTATGGGTGATGGACGGTTAAACAGATTATCAAAGTATATCAAAGGAAAAGAATGAACACTACTTGCTGCAGCTTTTGTGTTCTGAAATCTTTAATCGAGTGGTTCATTGTTGCAAAAAAAATTGATCGATATTGCTAATATAGAGTTGCTTTTGATAAAAGCAATACTCTGGTCACCACCGTTTATCAAGTTTTTACATGCCTTTAATCGTTAGCTTGGTCCTTTGGTTTTAACACCAACAGGTATCAAAAACTGGATTTTATCATACCATTGAAAGATACATGTATTTTTTTCTTTTGTTAAATCCAAAAATCATTGATGATCTGAGTTGTACAAGTATCATGTAAGGCGCGGTTTTACTGTAAATGGTTTCATGTTGTGTTTCAAGGATTCCAAATCAGTGAAAAAAAGATTAAAGTTAATTTTGAGAACTTAAATTTCTTTACAAACCTATATGTTATAAAATTGGCAAAAATATAGACATTGTCCAGTTCATCCGTACATCTTCATTTTTACTGTTTTCCTTAAAACAGCAGCAAGTTTTCTGCAATTTACCTGTTTTTTATACATGTAAATGCAAGTGCCTTGTTTAATTTAGCTAATTCAAAGTATGCAGAGATCACCCAATGTCTTTGCTGCAACTATTAATTCATTGAGAAGGTTATCTTATTCGTATACTCTATACTCATCGTAAAATTGCGGAAAGCGGCTAATCATAATGATATTTGAGGGAAAGAGGGAAGTATGTAGAAGTCTACATATGTATACGTTTTGGTGATCTTTAAAATGCGCCTGGTGTTTAAAGTCTTTCCGAAAAGACAGAGAATTTATTCTTACTGAAAGGTAGAATACCAGTGTGGCTGTTTCATCCTACCCGTAATCACCACTTTGCTTAAAAAATGGTAGGCATAATTATGGTAAGCAGAATGGTACAAAAATGGCATTTTTACAGAACTGAGCTGTTGAAACAATAAAGAGAATTTACTTGACATCTCACTTCCTTTTTGTTTGTTGTTTCAGTTATCCCACTGAATTAGAATCCTACTTTCCTACTTAATGCACCATCTACCAATCATATAACTGTTGTGATTCATTTATAAGGCTTTCGAACATTGAAATCACATGTCTATTAACTAAATATTTGCTGCAAGAGCATAATCAGGTATACAGCAAGGTAATCTGTGGATAGGAGTTATGTTTACTGGTATATGCCAGTATATTCGACGGAAACATAACACTGGTGGTGTACAAGTCTATCTCATCCAGGATCACTCGAGGCTTTTGTCCAAGTTCATTCCCTCTTCAACAGAACAGGCACAGACATGACGCTCTTCCATCAGGAATGTCCAAAGCTCGAACACGGATTCATCGCAAGGATATCGACCTTTGTAGACGCACTCACTGCTGCATACATCAATTTCATCTTGAGGCACCTCTACTAGGAGGTTATTTGCTCCATTATGGAGCTGTGGCATAGTATGCATTAGCAGGGGGCGTCTAAATGGGCCATGGCGATTTCATGAGGGGGGTTATACGATGGGCATTCCACTCTTTTATAACAGTGTCCAGTTCTCCCTAAAGTTTGTGAAATTTAAATAAAACTCTTTTAATAATATAATGTTGATTACCTTCATACACCAGCCTGAATACTGTGCACGAATCACACTTTCCTAGACCAGTTCATGTGGACCTCACCTGGATCATATTCAGAAAGCAAAGCTCCAGCAGTGGTTTGTCTAGTAGATCTCCATTGAAATAACCTTCATTTTTCAGTGGGCAGGAGAGGTCTATCCAAAATTGAGTGAAGTGTTTTCTAAGCATGCCCCACCAACACTCAATCCTTTAGTTATTTTGACTGGTTCCCTGCATGACTCTTGTCTTTAGCAAATGAATCATCATGATCCCTTCTAAGAAACTGCTGCATCTGTCGGATGTGAGTGTTTTCAGTTCCAAGATCAGCTCTTGTGATTCTTGGGCATCCCGTGGTAGAGCGTACCGTGTTCACGTAATATCCGGCAAAGACACTGAGCAGGGTCACTGCTCGTTGTATATACTTCGAGAAACCGTCAATACATCCATTAATGTAGATTCCGTAAGGTTTAAGCTTATCGTAAGAGTCAAAATGCCACATATAATTTTGATATAACCGTCTTTGCAATCTCTTCCTTGCCCTCGTTTCGACTCCATCTGGATCTAAACTTCGAAGCAACAGGCACACGGTTTCTTTATCTGTGTTCAAGCCATTTTGGATGCAGTTCAGGTTCATCGGTAACCGTGTAAGCTTGCAGAATGTTGCAACTGTTCTTGTAGAAAACAGGCAATATCTATCACATTGTGATTTTTCTACAAAAAAGACCAAAAGAGACAATTTCGCAATTGTCGACAGAGTGTTCGCTTACTTCTTAATACGCTGTGCTTAATCAGGAGAATATTAAGAATTTCCTCGTAAGCTTGACCAAGAAGGAAGTAGCATCGAATAAACCGCTCACACTCTCGTCGTGCCACTTGCATGAACGCCTGAGCAATCCGTAATAAGGAAATAGATAATCCGTAATAACGAATTATGAACACTCTTGCCGCGGCACTTATGGGCTTTCGTACTACACACCTATGCAGGACCCAGTGACATGTAAACGCAGGACCCCGGTGGCCCCACTATGGGATTCCATATCTGCCGTCGCCCGTCGTCCGTCGTATTTTGCTTTTTGTTGTGTCCCAATTCTGCCATTTACCAGTTCCAAACATGCCATTTTCCGTCGTGCGACGTCCGTCGTGCGTCGTCCGTCGTGCGTCACCCGTCGTGCGTCGCCCATCGAATGGGTTGCACAGGACCTGCAAAAGCCGGGGTTTAACAAATGACAATGTGATGATTTCATTTACTTCTAAAGATCTTTTCCGAATAAGGCAAGTACAAATACCACCTGCAAAGCATATACTAGTCACATAATTAATACCAATAATGCTAGACTA